CCCCCCCCCCCCCAAAACCCACACACAGAGTGATTGTTGGTTGTATACTTTTCTTCTTTTTCGCGAGCGCACGGAATCCTTAGCTGTGTCTCATTTACTCATGTGCCTCACGGCACATATCCCCAGAACTGACTGACACTCCTTGGTGAAATGGAGCCACCAGCAAGAATTGCTATAATTTGTCCTCTCCTGTGTGATTGTGTGTCCAACTCGATGGTTCAGTGATGCAGAGACACGACATCTTGAAAAACTCGAATGGTTTTGGCGTCATACGAGAGGGCCAAGGAATCAGGGCCTACCTCAGCAAAAGACAGGAGTGCGACGTGGATGTGAGGTTCCCGACTCGATATGACTGCAGGATCTTCGCACTCCCTAGCAGCGGATCCAAGTGTCAGCTCTTTGTCAAAGCATCCACCTCCGATCCGGCCTTTTTTTTTTTTTTAGGCCGGCCTTTTTTTTGTTGGCAGATGAAGCCCCGGGAAAATGATGCATTTCTTGTGTTTCAATCAACGGATCCACGATGTACGTAGGATTATTCCTTTGTGTTTTAAGCACTGCTTTCACGCTGGACAGCCATGTCCGTCTGCGAGACGAGCTTAATCAGTTGTACCCGCCTTTTTACCTGTCCCCATCGAAAAACGGACGACATGCCTCGCCGGAACTGCTCGCATCAGCCCTGGGCAAGGCCGCGCGAGGCACTGGAGAGGCGATCAGATGGCTGACATTGTCAGCAGTGTCAGCCGGCAACGCATCTACCTCACTGGCGATGGGCACCTTTGCGTCGTTCGTCCTGCACTCTCTGCACGCCTGTCGAGTGCTGCGGGCCATCGATCTGATGCGCTCCGGTCTGCCTTTGGAAGCACTGCTGACTTCCGAGTGGCCAGCATGCTCATGGACTTCCGAGAGATTGATGCCGCTGGCCCTGTAAGCGATTCGGTGTGTGTGGCGGGCCACTGGGACAATCAATCGACGCAATTGCGCGACATGAGGACATTTCTGTGTCTCTGGCGAATCATCTCATGGAGATGGCGTCCAACGTATCATCAGTTGTGTCCCAGGGACTTACCATAGGTGACAAGAGCGTGCTGAACACCGCTCACCGCAGAGAAAATAAGCCGTATTCATCTCTTCGTTGTAGGTAAGATCAACGAGTGTCCTTCAGGCTCTCTGGCTGCCTTGACCCTGTGGCTCTTAGTGACCGCCGCACTGGGGAGCGGTGTTCCCGACTTGGCCCGCATTCTGCAAACCTATGTTTCCATTGCCGACGCCCTGTGGCAATTCATGCCAATCGAACAGCTCATAAGCACGCGGTCGAAAGCCGACTGGCATCATATGATGTGCACACACCAAGCCGACCGCCAAAAAAACTAGCTGCGTACCAGCCAACAAGTACTCTCTTCTGTTTCTTGTTATGTGCATGTGTTTCAGGTTGACGGATCTTGGAATTGCTTCAGCTTTTGGCTGCGCAGGAACTGAAGAGACAACAACAAGGCAAGCCATAAGCAAAGAGTCATAAGTGTTCTCACTTCCGTACTCTGCCGCAGCCATGTCTGACAGTGCATTCCGGGACAAATACAAGAAGTGGGATGCTCAATTCACCGTTCTGATCACGACGATTTCCATAACACGAACCGTCAATGTCAATCGTGTGATCCAGCTGTTTGAGACTGAACCAGCTGTCCGTGAGATCATCGTCTTATGGAACAACGGGGAACAGGTATTTTACCCGACATGCAGTCGTTTGGTCCATTTTTCCAATGCCTCTAGGACCCTCCATCGTTCGCAAATTCGTCACTTGTGCCCGTGCGAGTCATTATGCAGCCTAACAAGAACATCTCCAATCGGTGGGAAGGTCGCTGCTCGTGAATGCAAGACACCGCTTGTCTTCAATGTCGATGACGACATCGTATTCGATGTGGCTGATATTCTGCGGATGTTCCTTGTTGCCCAGGCCTATCCCAACGCGCTGATCGGAGCGATGGGGCATTTCTTTGACCTGCAATCGCGTCAGTATTCTTTCAGCGGCTGCAATTGAGTGGCTGGCCTTTCTTCAACATTGTGCTGCCCGGCTTTGCCTTTATCGGTGTCGAGACGCTTCGAGAATTTGTTCACGAGCGTGAATTACTGGAGTATTTTGACGCTGACGAGTAGAGTAGTCGCCGAGACAGTCGATGACAAATTTTCAATCTGAAAGTCTCTAACCGCGTGGTGTGGATGGGTGGGTGTTTTTTTTTTATCGCACCACGGGCCGCACCAAAAAGCTATGCGACACAACCGTCTGGCATGTTGAGTCTGAAACAGGCCAGTATTATGGCTCAATCCACGGCACGTCTGTGGGACGCGAAGGAGTTCAGTAGAACTGGGTGTACATCTAAGGCCGGCGACACAGCACAGGGAGAAGAGAAAATGCGCAAAGCTTTCGTACTCAGTCATCGTACCTGATACATTTGCTCTCTCGTCACGTAGTGGAATGTAATGACCGGGCTCTCTCGCTGCTTGAGCCATCTGCACCAGCAGACATGGTCATGCATATTTGTCATGTATACCGTCAATGTGCTTACATACTCGAACTCTGAATATTGAGGATGCCTATATGAGGCCGACATTCCCTGAAAGCCGCTGATCGACTGCATCTTGTGGCCTGTGCAAAAGACGTGCAAAAGACTCCAGTGCACCATACATGCGTCAGGAATGAGGTGCCGGTGTCGATGCACGTACCGATGTGCTTGTCGATGCATGTCGCCATGTAGACGTCCTCTGGCTTGCCGCTGTAAGCATGTGTGTGAGTTAGTGTGTGTCTTGCCTTCTCGTGTGAGTCTTGCCGCCTTACTAGCGCTCCGCCCCCTTCCAAAACTTGTCGTCTTTCGGATCAACTGACAGACAGTTCTCCCATCGTGTGTTGCCCGGCTGCTGAGCTATTGGTCTGAGACACTGCCAGCGGAACCAGCAAAAAATGCTGACGTAGGTTGCGTGCGCTTACCATGGCTTTCATCAACCCCCGTGAGAAGACGTATCCTGCCAGCCAGTAACACGAGGGCAATGTCCACAGATAAAGTCATCCCTCGGTACCTACCTGCACCGCCGCTTGCGTATTCCTGCTCCTTGTAGCTCATGCGCTGACCAAGATAGTGGACCTGCAACACGTTCACGCAAACCACGCATTTACAGTGAGTCACGAGTATATGTCTCTGAGTGCGTGTCCCTCTGTAGATCTGCCTGTTCAGGGTCGAATTCTCTGAGTGCGTTTGCGAGGTTGTATGTGACGAGGAACAGGTCATCGTCAGCCCTCATAAACCACTCATACGTGTCGATCAGGTGCTCACAAAGAAACATATACGATTTCAGCACCTTCTTCCATAACACCTGAAGCATACATGCTTCCAGATGCATTTGAGGTACATCCAGATTGCGCTCCTAAACCTGTACCGTGTATCCATCAATGTTGGCGCCGAGCTCCACCGTCTGCGCACACGGGCGCATACGTTTTGACCCGCTCAACAGACATTTGTTCCCCCATCCCGACCTGGTCGAGGTTCGTGATTTCATTCTTCTGCCCTTTTTTCTCTATCTCTTTAGCCGGCGGCAAGGACCCGACAAACGTCAGCAGATGTGGCACGTGACGCCCCCATGTCCTGCGTCTTCACATGCATATGCGCATAGAGGAACATCTGTCTGTTTTTTACCTTAATATGCGTTCTCTCTTGTCCAGGAAAGCCCTTTGGTGTGTGTGCAGTGAGATAAGTGTCTTGTCAAGATCATGATCAACCCACACGGACCTGCAGTGTAGCCACTAGTACGCGCAAACGTGGCTGTATGCATCATGCATCACGCCTCCGTGCATTTTTCATCGCCTCTCTGTGTATGAATACCCATTTTTCCGCAAGTCCCTAAAATGGCGATTATTGTCGGTCCTCTTGACGATTCCCGAACTGCCGAAAAGAAGCATGGATCTAAGCCGAAAGCGGTCCTGCGTTAACGTCGTGAAAATAGAAAGCCAGGTGAGGAGCAGCATGCAGAATACAGCGTTCGCATAGATGATCCCCTTTGTGGACCAGCTCGCTTTCATGATCTTTCATGAGCACGCTATTTATATCAATTCACTGAGAGGGGAAGAAGGAAAAGAGAATACACGTCTGCGGTGCGACCGCTGGATGGCTGCGTGAAACGTTTCTTGTGCGGCTGTTGTGTGTTCGGCATTTGTCACGCTCACCCATTCAAATCATTGAATCGTTCACTCATCAGTCATCCATTCATTCATCCGTTCTCCGACTGACACGGACACTGGGCTGCGAGGAGGCGAAGGGACAGACAGTCGAGATAGACAGGCAGGGCCTGTGTGCACACATATGTCATCCATGCGCCCATCCATATTTGGCCTTCCTGCGCACCTGGCGGACGGATAGACGTGATCCTGTCTGCCAGACAGCATCACGATGCGAGGGGTACGCTTCGCATCAGCGAGTGGTGCTGATATCACGTGACTTGCACCAGCTGCGCCGTACGCGTTTTTACGTCCTCATCGTGCACAGAATCGACAGCAAACTGAGGAAATCCCGAACGGACGCCCCCCAAGGTAAGGTAAGAGCGTCGCACAACCTACTCATGTCTCGCTGAAGAGAAATTATGAAGCGATAACGCCGATAATAACGCCGAAGACGGGCAACGGGAATTGAGTATTTGCCCCGGGCCACCGATTCTCTTGTCAATATTGCTGCCATACGAATCGCCCCAGCATGATTGGACCTCTTTCGTTGAGTACCACATTTTTACTTCATACATCGTCCCGCCTCGCCCCTCAGGGCGTTTGACGCCTATCGACGTCACAAACTTTGTGACTGTTCGCGCTAGCTGGATGAAGGGCCGTACTGTTTTCCACTGAGGAGAGCCTCCCTCCCTTTTCTAGCGAAGTATTATACTCTTTCTTCGGCTTCTTTCCGTCTTCCTCAGGCCGAGGCCACAAAATCCTCCGAGCATGTGTACAGACGGCATTCTCGGGTTCGCTGTTGGGCCCAGGCCGCTCATCAATTGGCATCAAAAGGGTGACTTCAGTCGATGACGTGCCCAGTGTTCTGTGTTTGGAGGGAATTCTGTGTTTGGAGACACATGCACACTGTGCGATCCATATGACAAATAGGTGCATGCAACGGGTCAAATGGCCAAGCAACGGGTCAAAACCTCCGCAAAGGGCGGCAGCAGATCATCTTTTCACCGGTTGTCGACTGTGGTACTTGGCCACCAAACTCACCTGCAATGATCACATCAACATACACACTCACGCGAGACCAGGCATTGATTGATTTTGGTGTGTGGTACAGGCAAGTTGTCGAAATTCTAGAAAGTGCCGTCCCCAAGAGCAGACATACAACAGCAGACCGACAACACACCACGGCAACCACTAGCGCATTTTTCTGGTTTTTGGCAGTGCACATTTGTTTGTCGCTTACGAGTACCTGCGAGACACAGAGATCCATGAATCTTCTGCAATGTGCATCTGTCTGTTTGTTTTGTCTTACATAATCTTCGTTCAAGCGGGACTGTACACGAGCGATGATTTGACGTGCGTCTGAACAGAGCCCACACACACAAGATGGTGCATAGCGCATCGTCTGAGTGTGCTATTCTGCTTGTTCACCAGCAACACTGTGTAGTTCCGATGCAATTTTCGGGAATGCTTGCAGGATGCGATCTAGGTGCTGCTTTTTGAGGACGAGCACGAGACAAAACGAATCAGCCTGAGACATCGAAGGGAAGGCACGTGGAAGGGCAGAGGACACCAGCAGGACGGCTTTGGACCTGTACGCTGCAGCTCCTCATCTGTCCCCTCATCAATGACAGCTCGCCGAAGAAATCGCCAGGACCCAGCGACTGAATGGAGGTTTCGTGTATCTCTCAAGTATGAATGTGCCGGCGTCTGCTTTGTGTGCCGTGCTGGATGCGTACGTGGAGGATGCTACTTTCATCTGTCGAGTAGATCAGTACTTTCCCCTCCTGCAAATATACAAAAGTGACGGAAGCTGAAGAATATACAGACGAAGCATGTTCACCTCGATGAAGTACATCTCGTCACCATAATCGCCCTGGAAAGGGACAGACAGAGACATGTGCACGCACTCGTGTTTCTGTATGTGTTCACCTTGACACAAATGTAGTCTGCTGGCATATATACGCGACACACGAGATGGCTCACAACCAAAGACAGGAAATGGTCCGGCTGATCCCTGCAATAACCACACATGTGACCGTATGAACCAACTTACAGAGAAATCAAGTGTCACGTGTTTTCTTCAATTGGGACCTGAACATGGGCACTCGGTCAAAGAATCGCCTATGGTACTGCACAAAGATACAGTTGTCAACACGAGCACGCTAGTAAGATCTCTGGCACAAGAACTTCCTGCGATACCTGCAACAGGAACTTCCTGTACAGCAGAGGCGGAACACTCGCGGCCAAATTGGACTGTGTCAAGCCTATCACCCCGTATTTCTGCATCATCATAGTGTGTGGAAAGAGGCAGACATCAGGGAGTGTCAGTCTATCGACATTGGTTTTTTGTGAGTGTCTTCCGCACATGGTCCAGCACTTGCTGCCAGTAATATGAGAAGAAAAACTCCGTGCGCGTCAGGATGGACGAGGGAATGCCGTCGAAACGCATCTGATAAACGGTTCGAAGGACATGTGCATCACATTTGGCAGACGGTACGTACCTTATTCCGGATGGTGTTGAATCGGTCGCTGAGTTGGCTTTGCTCAATGTTGCTATTCTGGACGGCAGCTGACACGGAACTGTACCGAGGCGCACGCATCGACAAGCGAATACATGCATCCACTGCACACACATGATATGCCGTGCGTAACGCACCCGAAGGCCACAGCAAAGAGCGCATCCCCCACGACGATGAGGGTGGTGGCGACAATGCGTTCTCTGTCAGTCTGGGGAATGATGTCGCCTGGCATGCACATATGAACGCGTGATGTATGCGAGAGCTGTATGTCGACGTACCGTATCCCACGGACGTGACGATCACCATGGTGTAGTAGAAGGACGCCACGACCTGCAATCATATGAGTTGCATGAGCACAATGTGTTCGTGGCAAATGCCTCCCGACCTGCTGGAACAAATCTGACCACTCGCGATCATCTGTGCACATCAGTGCATTAGACGAATGAGCGAATGCGAGAACGTGCATACAAGCGCACCTGAATGGGCGAGGCCGTATGCATCCAGCCAGCTGCCATTCGTCTCGCGACCGACCGAATACCTGCCCACATGTATGTGTGCGCACCAAGACGTGTGCGTGCAGACAATCGGAGAGGTAGATGTGTGGGATCAGACCGTGTCGCTCATCTACCAGATGCATGACGAGAAGTGCCAGAGCAGTGTGAGCGACAAGACAGCCGACAGAAGTTGCCCGTGGTAGGCGAAGAAATGCACACGCCTGCACATGTGGTGTGCACACAGCAGTGCAGACAAGCCAGATGACGGAGTCACAATTGCGGGTGCTTAAGGTTACGAGCGCAGTGTGTGTCTCACCTTTCCAGCTCAATAAAGATTGCCGGCAGCCTTGCCACGGACACGTACGTGCAGTCGTGCGAACAGCCATGGTAGTGTCTCTTGTCATCTGTACCTGAAGACGACGACGAGCCTGAGCAGTCGGAGGAAAACGAAATACCACTTGGCGTCACCCATCATCCAAAGCAGAGGGACTGCAACGCACAATACACCGTATGGCGTAAACGCACACATTGGCTTTGGTAGGTGGACACTCACTTGCCGCAAGCGCATCGAATTTGCCTCCCCCGTGTTCCCAATAGTGAGACAGCATCGCGGAGGGACGCAAAGTGAACTCGCCACCCTGAGAAATACATGCATCCCGTCTGTGAGCCCTCTCCCATTCCGCACACACGCAGGCTGGACTCACCTCAGCGCCGTGTTTGTAAAAGGCGGTTCGGCAGTTGAGCAGGAAGAACACCAGGCACTCAATGTCAAGAAGGGCGAACACGATGATCGAGAATACCTCACTGCACACACACACACACACACACACCAGAATGGATGAAAGAAAATGCACAGATCCCAGCTCGAGACATCCGGACACGTGTGTGTATATGCTGCAGGCTCACAGTTGCGAGACTTTGAATGCCGTCACGAAAGGGTAAACGAAGAGCATGCAAAAGATCGCAATGAAGTGCACGCTGTAAATGGCCAGGCGAGTTTTGCTCTCCGGCATGAATATGAGTCCTGTCTTCGTGAAAGCCTGGGCAAATGTCCCTGATCGTGCGACGTCATTGAATCAATCATGCAGGTGCCTGCAGGGGTATGACTGGTAGTTGACTCATTCACGTACCGGAGAAGTGCATGAGTGATCCCTGGTAGAGCATGGATGCAGCGCCTCTGCCAGTCGGGCTCGAAGAGCCGTGCTGGGACCGCGTGTTCCACCGACGAAGTGGCGACGCGCTTTCCTTCTTCAGCGGGCCTGCAGCCTGCGGAGACCTGTCGGCTTTCATGCTAGAAGCGTCCTCGTGCTTGTCGTCTTGCGGCTCGCTCGGCAGCATGAAGGGGTTATCCTTGCTGTCTGGGAGGTCGGGGGCGAGAGACACTCTTCTCTTGGGAGGTGAAGGCTTCCTTTGCTCCGGAGTCTTGTCAACTGGAGTGACGGGCGTGGCGTCATCGCTGGCCAGTTGGTCGTTGAGTGCCTCTGCCTCTGCTTTGGTCTCCTTGACCAGCCGCCCCAGGTACTCGTCCAGGTGCGGGTAGGCCCTTGTCAGCGCCCTGAAGTGCGAGCGGTGCAGCACTCCCACCCGGCAGATCGACGTCGCCATGACGTCAGCCGTCCGCTCAGTGTTGGAGAACAGGCCCACAGCACCAAAGTGCTGCCCAGGGCGGATGGTGTTTTTCCTTCCCAGCAGAGTGGTGGCTGCGCCCGAGGCCTTCCTCATGTAACTGGGGCGGGTGTTGAAGTTGGACTGCGGCACGAGGGGCGGCCTCGTATCGTTGTAGTCGTAGGTGTAGCCAACGGTTGTGCCCATCCTATCCACGCCAGGCGAGCAAACAAGGCACAGGTGGGTTGCGGGATGGATAGCATGCATACCGTGCAGTTCTCGCTTTGACGTCCTCGATCTGTATCCTGTATGGGCTGAGGTCTTCATCGACATTGGCCTGCACGTTGGACATGTCGTTGTCCTCACACAACCCATCCAGCAGAAAGAACATCTCATCCTGCAAGCAGCACAACACAATAATGGCCTAGTTGACTGCCCCATCCTGGCGCAGCCGTGTATATGTGCTCACCGAGACGTCTCCCTTTCTGATGATGAAGTCGCCCTCCATGCAGACGCGGAACTGCAGACATCTCAGGGTCGAGTTGACCAGCGCCCAGTCAGTGCGACCATCTGATGCAGCGACATTTACCCGTTTCGAGTGGACAGCTTCCGGCAATCAATGCATCTGACGTACCTGGCCCTCTGAAGAAGCCTGTAGTGCATACGGACAGGTACACGTGGGTGTCTGTTTGATGGTGATCGTGCTGCATGCCCACCTGACGCGTAGATGATCCTTCTGTACAAGAACTGCAGGATGTCGGTCCCTGAACATCGATCAAGTGAGTGAGGGAGAGGGCACATGTGGCTTATTACTGAGTGCGTCAGGTATCTCCCTCAGCAGCAGCGCCTCGTCCAGGCCTCTCGACGCCTGCCAGCTGTAATGGAAGTAAGATTGCAGCTCCTGCACACAAACACACGATCAGCGCGGTGCTGGGACGTGCTTTCGTCCATCCATGTGATGTCCCTCCCTCCCTCCCTCCCTCCCTGTCTCTTACGTCGATGAATGTTTGTGCAATGCCGCCCACACCCGCCACCTCCTTGGCCTGGCGCAGAGCCTTGGCGATCGGCTGCCTCAGCTTCGGACCCAAATCGCTGACCAGACTCACGATGTTGCCAAAGAAGGCCGCGTAGCTGAGGGATGACATGATGTCCATACACCCATCCAAATGAGTGTCTATGTCTGTCTGTTTGCTTACAGGAAGGTCATGATGGCGATCATAATGACCTGCAGCCAATCACAAATGGACACACAGGGATGGGGGCCGGTGGGTATCGCTCACCGTGAAGACCTTCTCCTGGGTCGTAACGGGTGTGACATCACCAGTCCCTACACACGTGCAGTCGAACAGAGGTACACAAATATGACAAGCAGCAGGCAGCGTAGCGGGACTGCATCACACAGTGTACCGATGTGGCTGCCTGTGTTGAAGGACCAATAAATGGCGTGCACATAAATGCTCCGTTCGCTCAACGGGGGCGGGCTCGGGAAGCCTGACACAGAGAATCCCCATGCAGAGACATTAGTCGATCGATCGAGCCAGCCATCCAGCTAGCATGTGTGTTTGTGTGGTGGTTGACCTGGTCTGCCGATGCCATAGCAACATGGGTCATCTGGTGATGGGCTGGCGGGTTTGGCGATAACGGGCAGGCGGATATACCACGAGGCCAGCTCGTCGTTCCTGTCCTCTGCAAGCCGGATGAACAGGCAGGCGAAGACATGCAGTGTCGACAGGTAGAAGAAGAGGATTTCGACGATACGGAACAGCGACACGTCAAACTTGGCTGTCACCAACAGATGATACACCAACTCAGGCAGACGAAACACCTGCACCAAGGACATACACGAAAGGATTGATGGCGTCGCGGGTCTCTCTCTCCAATCTCTCGTAGCGCTGGCCGACCATGAATAGTCTGCAGAGCGGCAGTATAATGCTGAGGGTGTTCTCGAAGCTCTCGTTGTCCCACCGGCCGCCCTCTCCCCTGCTCGCCAGATCAAAGACAAGCGCGAAGGGCACGATAGTCAGCAGGTCCCGCACGAAGCGGCGGTAGTACATCCGCCGGAATACACTGGATCGCTTGCTCGCCGCGCAGAAAGACGGCGTCTTGGTGGTTCCGCTGGCGGTGAAGAAGCGCTGGACGAATGACGGCTTATGCTGATCCTCTTCGGACTCTGATAGCGACGAGTCCTGCCGGACCGCCTTGTCCGCTTCGGGAGGGGCGCCGTGGCCCCAACCCCTGTCGAGCAACCTCTCCATGTGCTCCGCCGCCCACCTGAGTGACACACATACACGCACACGATGAGCAGCCAGGCTGAAACACATATGCATGAGTGTATTTGCCTCTGGAAGAAGCCGATGGCAAGGGGCGTCTCGTGGGCCGTGTCCTTTTGCAGGTTGGCCAGCGAGAGCTTCGCCAGGATGATTGATAAAGCCCTAGAGACAGGTGAGAACAGAACAGATGGAGACATTTTTACTGCAGGGGACGAAGAGTACCTGAATGAGTGTGCGTTTAGGTTGAGGGCTTCCTGCTTCCTCAAAAGTCGGAATCTCGTGTAGAATGCGCGGAACTCGACGTACATGCCACACGACCTGCACATCCATACACACTGGCCTCAGCGCGCCTGCGAAGTGCACATGGGGAATCCGTCTGCATGTATGAGCCGTACCATAGGAATATAGTTCCAATCTCCATGGCGAGCAGCCAGCCTAAAACACATGACAAGGACACCCGCCGGCCCGTTGCGCCGCGCCTGTGCTGTGCCCAGCGCCCGCGCACCTGAGTAGGGCCAGGAGAAGGCGAGCTGGAGAGGCTGGATGAGCATCTGAAAAACGAGTGCCGCACCGTAGAGCAGCAGCAGCATCCACTCAGCCCACACACGCATCGCGCGGATCACATCGGCGTGCCTCTCCCGCCAGCAATCTGCCAGCCAGGCCAAGGGGGACAGCACTGAGGTCCTGAATGTGGTGTCTGTCTCCTGGTCGTCATGGTTGCTTGACATGTCCTCGTCGCATGAGCTGGTCGGCGGCACGGGTGTTTTGTACCCGGAGGGCTCCCTGGGTACGCTCTTGTCCGAAGGCGGCCGCACGGACAGCTCCGGAATGGAGCACGCCACGGCTGCAGGAGGGGGCGACTTCTCCTCGCATGTGCCGGGCAGCGACATGTCCGTGTTGTCGTTGTTATTGTTGCTGTAATCGGCGGTCGCCTTCGGTGCGGGAGACGGCAAGGGCTCATGGCGTTGTTTGAGGAAAGGGCGAAGTCCAATCCCACTGTCCTTCGGCTGCACCGTGGCGCCTACATTGGGCTCCGACGACCTCCTGACCTTTTCCGGCTGCTCGCTTCTGGATCTCTGCGTATGCACTTTGGCAGTCCTTGTGGTGTTGACGCGCTGAATGGTGAGGACTCCGCGAAGCAAGCTCAGTCGCCGCCGGAAAGCACTCAGTGTGAGGCGCCTGCTCTTTCTGCTCATTGAGGGCGAGAGGAGCCAGGCAAGCAGGGACACCAGGCATAAGTCGCAAGCTCTGTCTGCATGAAAGCGCTGGCTGAAGTGCCTACTTACTTGGTCATGATCTCTTCGAAATCGTCAGGTGCTGGCCCTGCAAGTGGGAGGGGAGATAATGTGCGATATAGCATCGTTTGACAAAGTGTTTCCTAGCCTATCACCGCACGTAATACGTTTGTTTCCTCACCCTGCCAGGCAGGCTCCACGGCCCCTCCGAGCGATGACTGTTTCCTGGGCATCGCGTCCTTGTCCGTGTCTGTACCGGGGACGGGCCACGCCGTTTGGACTTTTGGTTTGCCGTCAGTTTGTGGCGGGACCAGTGGGGCGGGTGGCCCACCCTCGCCGTCGGTGTCCTCGCGGTCGCTGTGCAAGGGCAGCGACTGCACTCAACAAAATCATGTAGACACCGGGCATATGTTGTCCATACTGATGTGCGCGTATTGCACCTGTGAGACCAGTGACGGGACGGGGGTAATGGGTGTGTGGGGGTCCTCGGGGTCGGGGGGAGCCAGCAGCCACGGGGGGGACGCGTTGGTGGCTGCGGGCGCCGTCGGGACAGACGGCTGATGCACAGGGGAATGAGCGTCGCTCTTAGCTTCCTCGGCGCTGGCGCTGCTCTCCCCACTCTCGTCTTGCTGTGACTGCTCCTTCTTGTCGCCTTGTTGCGTGGGCATTTGCTGCTCCTTCACGGATGCAGAGGATCGAGACTGGTGCTTGACGCGAGCCTGCGTGCCATCCACACTCACATCTTCATTTGACCAGAATGGCAGAGTGACGTGTCTGTTTACATACCTTCCTGAAAGCGGCCTTTGCCTCCTTGAGCCTGGTGATGGCGACGTCCTGCATCTTCTTCTTGATCTCGGGATACATCTCTAGTACCTGACCAGCTTACTCATAATGACAAGCTCCTCCGACCTGTCTCGCCAGCGGCGCGCACCTGTGCGAAGTCCCTCTTTTGCAGCACACATGCCGTCACGTTAGATCGTGACCTCACACTCGCCGTTCTCGTTAGAGACAAAGACTCCCCCTGACATGGTATCAGAGAAGGAGAGGAAACAAAGAGTCAGTGACCGTTGGGGGCACTGATCGATGTGTCTGTGTGTTTACTTCAGCGTCCTCCAGTAGTGACAGCTCGCCCACAAATGACCCTGCAAGTGCAGCGCTGCGCTGTTTTGCACATCGTCACGACGTGTGTGCCATGGCTTGCCTGGCCCCAAAATGGCGACCCGTTGTGTGGCCGATCCGAAGCCGACAAGCACCTCTACCTCACCCTGGACCACAACACGCCACTCGACACCATCGTATCCATGCAGTCTGGGTCCTCACTTGGTAAGGTTACCTGGAGAATGATAAACATCTCGTTGGCCAGCTCACGTTGCCGCATCAGAAACTCACCCTGTGCCCGTGCACCCATCCATGAAAGAGACGCAAACAAAGCACACACAAACTCTCATTTCACAAAATGTGCGCTCGTCGCCTCGCGAGCACCTTGGCTACGAGCACAGGTTTGAGCGACACCACCAGGCCAGCTATCAGGTCGGGATTATCCTGAAACACGCACAGCCACACACAGAGTATACCCTTGCCTCGTCGTGTCTGGTGTTGACATATGCTTTCCTGGAAGATTGGCACGTCCTTGAGCGCCCGACTGTACAGGAACTCACAGACTTCTTTGCGAATGGGGGCTGGGAACTCACGCAGCACTACCGACTCGTCAACTCCCCTTCAACACACACAGACACAACATCTCCTCCTCTCCTCCGCACAGAGACACCCGGGCATACCTATACGATTTCCAGAGCATCTCCATGTGTGCCCGCACCCGTATGCACAGCCGCTCGGGAATCTGCACATGCGCTAACCAATGCTGCACCAACACACACACACACACACGTGCGTGTGAGGTGGATGAGCATCTCGTTTCTTTCTTCGGGTGTCACCCTCAGGTCCCTCAGCTTCTGCAGGTGAGCGGTTGACGCGGCATTGAGAGATGACACCAATGTGGTCACCTCAGCGTACACAAACGCAAGGAACACCTGAGCACCCACACACCCACACACAGCATCAATCGTCCGTCCGTGTGATGTGTGGTTGGTTGCCTTGGACACGAGCACGATCACAATCGCATAGAGCCTCTCGTCAAACGCCACGAATACCCAATCGCCAAACGCAACTGTGCCGGCAACCTGCACAGCACAACCAATGCACAGTGACGTTACGTAAGATCTCATCGTGTGTGCGGTGTGCGTGTGTGCGTGTACTTCGCACCAGTGATGCCAGGTACACGCAGTTGACATACTCTTCATACGCCGACATGTGCATCCCAAACGAAGGAGGCCTGCACGCACACATGTTCAGGGGAGACTGAGTGACTTAGCGACTGACTGACTGACTGACTGAGTGACGGACAGACCTCACCTGTTTATATTTGGGTTGACAATGCCTTCGCTTTCGATCTTTTGCGGGAACAGAAAGGGGGCCCGCGAGTAAAAGGAGCTGACACACACACAGGTCATACCATCAACGTGTGAACATTCTCCTTTGTGTGCCGTCTCGGCTAACGTGAATAGGCTGCTTTGTTGGTGGTGGTCGTTGGGCGGCGTGTTGGTTCGCCCCACCAAAAAGATTCCACACGCAAACCAATGCCTGTAGAAAACGACAGGGTATATCCATGTGGGTGTACAGCTGCGTGTATGTGCCCTTTACGAACGTGAGGAGTATGAAGATTGCGAACAGGAAAAGTACCGATCGCCAGGTATCATCATAGCCCAGAAGCAGCATCACGGCACCCAAACCCTCACGGCCTGCACACAGTGACTCATCCATCTCAATCAATGGTCAGTTGATGATGTCTTACCGAGAAATTTCCACAGTCTGACAACAGAACACCAAGCTTGAACAATTAGGCTCGTACCAGTGTGCTGTGGTATAAATATCGTACCTGTATGTGCGGGCCAGACGGAAAAAGCGCAGTAGAGAAATCGTCTCGTGACTCTGACAAACGACCATAGACGGATGAATGAATGGTGGGAAACCGGCGTGTTGGGCGGATGTGCGTGTCGCTTCATCACTCACTCACTCACTCACTTGTGACTCCGACCAGCCAAACAGGGCAGTGAGGGGCAGCGACGAGGCCAAGTCCACCAGGAACCTGACGGAATGCATGCAAAGCACATTGCCACGTGTGTGTCGCGTGTGGCCGCCAGACCATGTGTTGAGGTAGTGGTATGACACACGCGAGGGATTGGACAGCTCCACACCACTCTAGGCACCAAGCAAGCAAATAACATCGAGCTCAGATTGATTGCCGTCAATGTGTCGTTCCTTCATCACTCACCTTGCCCCCCGGTATGGCAATACGAAAGCGCACAATGATGTCCAGTATGTAGATCACCTTGTGCAGCCATAGACAAGCACAAACACACAGTTGCTTGCTTCTTGTTTGTCCCCTGTTGCATCCCTGCGGCTCCCACCTGAGCAACAGCATCGATCTTTGCAATTGGCCCTCGGGCGGGACGCTCGAAGCAGTAACTGTACGGCACAAATACTGCACACACCACACACGCCACGCACAGCCAGACATGTCTCTCTCTCTCTCTCTCTCTCCCTCGCTCTCTCCTTGCCATTTGTCGCCCGTCTGCCTGCAGGTGAGTGTGTGTTAGTGTGTCTGTGCGGGCCGTTCATTGGTTACTTAGGTTCCAGAGAACAGCAAAGCATATGAGGAAGTTCCACAGCACATACGCCTGGCTCCCCGGCTGAATCATAAACGATGAAGAGACGTCCCGAAACGCAAAACTACAGACGCACGCACAGCACTTGCCGCCACGCAATCAACAGACGAATCCATATTTAATTTGCTTTGGCCTACCGTGCGAATGGGGTGACGTTGAATCGTTCGACAGTGTTTTGCCTCTGTTGGAGGAGGGGGACTTGCTGCGGGAGTGGGTGCTCCGCTCTCTCCCTGCTGCGGCTCTTGCTCTTGGCGCCAGAGCCCCAACGGTACCATCTGCGTACATACCAACCAATACACATCCATGTGCAGTCAGGTGATCGTTTGCCGGTCCGTCACAGAGGTGATTACTTCTTGGCAGGCTGTTCGGGCTCTTTGCCTCCCTCATCGACGGCTACAACAGTATAGTCGTCTCGCGGCTCCTTCCGCCTGTCCCGCTTGTCGCCTCGCGAGATGATGCGGTGCGGCGGGACGGATATGACGTTCTCGCCAAACCTCTCGTTCATGTGCTGCACCAGGTGCTGCGCCAGCCGCAGCTGCTGAGAAGACGGCACTGCATTCACGGGCGAATCTGATGAACTGCATCCAGGACAAAACACATGCAGACAGATGACACGGTGAGGCGTCCCTGTCTCTCCATGTTGTTTGTGTCTCTTCCTCTGTGGCAGCTCAGCTCACCCGACGCCTCCACTCGTGGCTTGGTCGCTGCTGCCCTGTTGGTTAGTCTGTGTGGTGCTCTCATCAGGTGCACTCTCCACTTCGCTCCACTCGTCCCTCTCCCGTCCCCACTCGTCCTTGTCGAAAGGCACCGAGTGAGACGGAGATGACACCGACATCGGAAGCTCCAGCAGAGGCGACATCAACACTGACTGGCGGCCCTTCATGTGCTTCATGTACTCTGCCAGCCCCTCGGCGTCCTCCATACATGACATCGACGACGCCCGCCGGGCCCGCAGGTTGAGAAACAGCTGGGAGGCCCGCCGCTGGGCGTCTGTCTTGCCGACCGATGTCTGCATGGCCCCCTTAATGCGCTTTCTGATGCTGTAGCGCCTCCTGGACCTGAGGGGCATGTATGCGGCCATCCTCTCAGCGCTCTCCGGGCTGATCCGCCGCCCGGTGTCGCCCAGCTCGGGTTGGACGGGGAGGAAGAACGGGCCCGACACCACCGACTGGCCAGGCCGCCCCTCAGTGGAGGACTTCCTCAGGCCACCCGGGGGATCCGCGACACTACCGTCCTTTGGCGGAGTCTTGTCGGCGGCAGGGAAGGAGGAACTGCGCCTCTTGAAGGACCTGAAGGCTTCCTGTCCCTCGGACTGTGCGTTGACGTCCACCATGTTGGTCTTGGTCCGGGTGAGTATGCGGCGGAGGACACGTGTGCTGTCGTCTCTCTCCTCTTTCTCGGTCATCTCCGTCAGCATGGTCTCGGTGCGCCTGATGGTGCGCCTGGAGATCCTGCATGACAGGCACTCACACAAGCGACATATCCAACCAAACACATACATGGGGACGCATGAGTGGATGTATCGGTACATGGGTGCGATGGTCGGCAGGGGGGCGTTGGTGCGGAGCAGGCGGGCCACGGCGAGGGGGCTGGCGCATGTGAGCGCCGAGTCGCGCCTGTCAATGCGCTGATCGTCGTCGTCTTCACCCGCGGCCTCATCGACGAACTGGATGGTGCGCTTCCTCTTGAAGACCACGTTCTCGCCGGGCGACACCTCGGTGTCCGAGTAGGGCTGTGTGGCCTCCTGGCGAGCACCCTTCTCGAGAGCGGCCAGGGCGACGCTCTTGCGCCTCTCTGTCTGCATCTGCAGCATCTGCCTCGCCTCCTCCGTGTCTCTCTCGGCGAGCATCTGGCTGAGTGACAATGTCGACTGGCGCAGGTCGGACGTCCTGTGTTTGCCATACTGCTTCTTCTTGGTGGACGCACTCGTGGTGGACGTGTCCTTCTGAGGCGATAACGGCGACAGAGTGGTGCTGATACGGCGAAAGGGGGAAATCGGAGACATGTCAGTGATGTTGGTCACTGTCGGGCTGCCCTCCAAACTGCACCAACACACCACACACGCCATCAGTCGACACAAAGACTCACGACGATGTAAGGGAGATACGGATGACCTGACCTGGTTCTGTCGTCCGATTCTGTGGCGGCAGAGGTGATGCTGACTCGTGAGGCCTTCGGGGGCAGCCGCATCATCGGGCGGCTCACCGGCCCGACCCTCTTGCTGGATCGAAGAGGCATTGTGTGCCCTTGGGAGAGGAAGGACTCCCGGCCCAGCGACCTGCGCTTCATGATGGACTTCCGCCGGGCCTTGGGCTGCTGCTCGTGGTGCTTGGCCGCATCCCGCGCATTGGGAAAGAGCAGCTCGCCGTCGGAGTAGGTCACACGCCGCTCGCCAGACACCGACTTGGTGGTGGTGTCATCGTCATCCGACGACTCCTGCCGCTTGTCGGGGTCCTGCATCTCGCTGTCCGGCAGGAGGGCCCAGGCACGCTGCGCTAAGAGCCGCTGCGTTCCCAGCACACGAGTCGCGGGATTCCCACCCGACACGAGCGATATTCTGCGCAGTGCCTCGAGGGTGTTCTGCCTGGTCTGCTTGTTCTCAGAGAGGACCTTCTTCTCCTCCTTGTCTGTCAGCTCGTCGCTGTCTACCTGCAGCCCATGCTTGTCTGCACACACACACACACACACACACACAGACAATAGACGTATGCGCGACTCCAAGGTGCGGGAATAAGCGCCTTGCCTGTGTTGGTCTGTTTGCGTACCTTGTGTGAGATGTCTGGGGCTGGGTGTGGGTGACGGTGGGGTGTGATGGCCCTGCTCCTCCCCCCTCTGCTTCATCTCCTTGATGCGGGACAAAGACACCTTCTTGAGCACACGACGAAAAAACCGACGGTCGTCCGGGAAATGACTCGACGCCTCTTGCCAGTCCTGCGTGACGCACATATGACGTAGGGAATGGATGCACCGCACAGGAGACCGTGGATGTGCACGCACACACGTGCCACCGTGCCGCGGTAAGCTCACCCTTTGCAGCAGCACGTGGCACTTGCATGTGGTAGTGGCCTGTACACTGCTGGCCGCCTTGTGGGGCACAATGAGTGACGCCTCACCGATCCAGTCACCGCTCTTCAAAATTCCCGCTGACGAACCTGATATGTTGACGGAGGCAGGCAGGCAGGCAGGCAGGGAGGGAGGGAGGGAGGGGGGAGGCATGTGACGCAGATGGACAGACAGAGGAGATATATATCGGCTGTGTGAGCTGACTGACCGCTGACGACCAGTTTGGCCTCCCCGTCAGCAATGTAGAAGAGGTGCTGAGCCAACTCACCCTCCCTACGCATTCACACATACACGGACACACAGGCCGTTCACACCGGGGTCAGGGAAGAAGAGGGTGTATGTGTGTGTGGTACATACCTGACGATGTACTGTGACGGCAGAAATATCTGCTGCACAATGCGGATGGAGGCCTCACGTAGCAAATTCGGATTGCAGTAGCGAAACAATGGCAAACGGTTGAACCTGCGTGTGCAACACATACAGCAAAGGTGCATGGAGTCATGCATACGTGTCTCAGCTCACATGTCAGCGTAGTGCAGGCTGGCGATCTCCATGCGGATGCTGATGGGTAGCCCACGCAGCGTCTGGTGGATCTCAGAGCCATACAGCGGCTCAAACTGGCTGTAATACACCTGCAGACAGACAGACAGACAGACAGCGCCACATATACAGACAGACATTGCAGCCAGCCATGGTGAGGTCTTGACGCACCCGTATTTGTTCCCTGAGTGCTCCCGGCAACTGTCTGGTGCGGACGTATTGCTGTATGGAGTCGAGCTTCCTCTTGAGCCGGTAGCTGGCGCCGTGGATATTCTGGATCTGGGCGCTGAACAGCGCAAAGAGCGACGAGTACACCGACGCACCAATGAGCATCACGCACAAGGCCACAAGCCTCTCCCACACATTAGTGGGCGCTATGTCGCCGAATCCCGCGCTCGTGAGTGTGCATGTGGCCCAGAAGATGCCACATATGAGCTGGTATATGGTGGCTGTGTCCCGGATGCCGTCTTCGAAGGTGGACATCCATCCGTCTCTCATCTGGCCCACCCGCAGCCATGCCACGGCCGTCCACAGGCCGATGTACCACAGCACCAGCCCCAGGTGCACCAGCTGCATCGCCCGCTCCACAACCACATTCTTGTGTCTCTTGGAAAGGAAGAACCGCAGCTCCTCCAGCCGCAGCAGCTTCAGATACCGCAGCAAAATGACTGCCCACGAGGACCGATTGGCGCGTATGAGCGTCGTGAATGAGATGATGGGCAGCGAGGCCAGCAGCACGGTGATGATCTTGCGCCGCTCGCGGATGTGGAACGGGTTGGTGAGCATCTCACGCCGTGTTTGGGGCTGCAGGGGCGCCAGGTGTCGGAACCGGAATATCGTGTCGGACGCCTTGAGTTTGGCGTCGCGGTACACATACAGCCGGAGGGCACCGTCCAGCAGATACACCAACTCGGCAAACATCTCCAAACCCAACCACACACCCTGAGTGTACCACACAGTCAATGAGTGAGCGAGCCACACACACACCATGCCATAAAGTCATGATGTGAGTGATGTCCCTGACCGTGCATTTGTTTTTGAATGCCGAGTGGAAGGGTACGGCGGTGTAGTAGAAGAGGATGCACACCACCATGAGGTTGTACCACACGCGAGGGAACAGAGGGGCGTACAGCGGGTCCGCCAGACGCTCGCGCTCCTCCTCGCTCCCTGAACAACGACAGACGAGCAAAACAAGAGACACATACATGTCTATAGCGGCTCTGTGTGAGTGCACGGCTTCGGAATACACACTCGGGATGTCCAGAAACGTCTGTTCGGTGGGGACAAGACGAAAGGAGAAAGCACGTCCGCCGCTGGCATGTGGGCATCATTCCTTCAGTGTCGTGTGCGTCCCTCACCTTGAGATGCCATGGAATGTACCTCTGCTTGTCGCTGACGAACTTTTTGGAGGCGGCTCGCCCAGGAGGAGGCGGGCCGCACGTCGTACACGTGATCATCTCGAGTGCCTCCCGCTGTGTGTGCTGAACCACCCGGTAATGTTTGACGAGGGTCCGGCGGTGAATCTGGTGACGCGCGAAATATCGCCCCCAATGCCCCCACATCGAGTTTACGCGTCCTTGTGATTTCGGGTCTCCCGGATCACACAGATGTCCAGTCCCATCTCCTCATTGACGAAAAAGACACGTACTGATGTATCCCATCTATTTACCAGGCCCGTCTGTCTGATTGTCACATGCAGCACCCCCTTGCTCGTTGTGCTCTGCTGCTTCATCCGAGCCGCCCTGCTCCTGGTGTTGCTCTTCCCTGGCCTGCTGCTCGAGCTGACTGATGACCGGCTGCAGGATGTCGACAACACTGGTGCATGCAGACATGAGCATCCCCTCTGTGTAGGGGGGGAGGGGGGGCGACGGCTCCCCGTCAGGCTGCACTGGTGCGTCCATCTCTATTGGCCCGTGCTCCCTTATGTGGTCGCGAAGACACGACCACACCACCTGAACCAATCACCCACATCACACCCACACATGCACATCACATGCACTCAGATGTGAAACGGACAGTGATCCTCACTCTCCGCGTCATCTGACCTTGGCGGCCATTTGTGGCTCCCACTGCATTGGGAAAGAGGGCTGGGTCGGGGGGTCGGGGCACACGATGACGTCTCGCTGGCGGACAAGGCCATCGAGTGAACCCCACACGTCACTCGTGGGGCCTTCAGCTGGTGGCTCCGACGCTGACTGCGCATCGGTGGCAGGGTCAGGTAGACAATCGAGAGAATCGCGGCGCACATACTGACAGAACGACACCATGTTTGTGGAAGGGTTGTGTCTGTTGATCCGTCAACCTACCTGTCGATAGCCCACGACGACCCGGCAGCTCTGCGCTCCGCCACGACTGCATCAATGACGACACGCACAGCAAACAAGTCTGCCACGTCCATGCAGCACCCAGAATGGTGTCTGCCTACGCTTCCAGAAGCCGCTGCAGGACACGAACGAGCTCGTCAAATGCAGGCGACGCACCATCTACCCTGGTGCACTCGGCTGCAGAAGCGGCTGCAGCGTCGGGGAGGGTTGTGGGGGCCCTTTGGCAGAGATGGGTGAGGAAGAGGCCTCGAGGACAGCAGCCGGTCGTGTGGTCCACCTGCACTCAAGTGGGTGGAACCTTTGCTGAAGAGCCAGACCACACCTGTATTGTGGGCATTGGTTCACCTGCAACAACTGCACGGGGTTCGTCATGCCGTCCTCGAGCACCGCGCCGGCTCCCACGCCCACTTTGCCCCCTCCATTCGTCTCACTGGCTGTCGTCTCGGTGTCGCTGGGCACGGGCGATGGACGCGTCCGTGCCTCAGAGGGCCGCTCACGAGGGGAGGGGTCGGCCAACAGGGCACGGTCAGTCAGGGCAATCAGATGCAGCACGGAGGGGATTGGGGAGGGGGCGGGCGTTGTCTGAGGGGGAGGGATGTAGTCGGGGGAAGAGATGAGCCGACTCGCCTGGATGGTCTGCACAGGGTGAGGGATTCGCTTCTGATCGTACCTACCTCTCTGTGCTGAGGTGACTGACACGTACCTGTCCGTTGTCGAGCCGCAGGCCGACAAGTCGATTTTTTTCGTTGTCGCCTTGTCGTGCGATAATGTGCGTGGGTCTGCACCTGAGCATGTAGAGACCTGGAGGGCACAACACGCAGTACGCAACTGCATCAGACAAACCAATGCACTGTCCTCCTACATGTGTGGACGAGTGCATGCTCACCTCTGTGGAGGGCGCAGACCCGCGTGAAGGCCTGAGGGAGCTCCGCCGTGCCGTACATCGGGTACAGAAACGGACTGCCTGTAAGACATCAAACATAGTGCCAGAATACCGGCGTGTTCAGACATCCAAGTCCGTCGTATGGCGTACTGTATGCTTTTTTTTACCCGCGGCGTATATGCCCAGGGACCTGATGATCCGCTCCACACGATCCACACCTGCATGAATAAGCATCCCCTTTCACTGGGTGGCGCGACGCTTTTCGTGTCTCTCTCTCTCTCTCTCTGTCACCTTGTCGTGCGGTCCACTGTGGGTGTCTCTCCTCCCCCATGCAGACGCCGTACGTCATCAGGGACTGCAGCCGGTCTGTCAACTGATGCGACCCCATGTACTCGAACCACGTCCCGTCCAACACACCCGACTCATCGCCACCATCTCCACTATCCTCAGCCTCGTTGTCGGTGTCGCTGGCAGCAGCGGCGGCAGCGGTGGAAGCCGTGGGCAGGTCTCTGCCTTGTAGCGCCTTGGGGGTGTGGAATGCGGCAGAGCTTTGGGCAGCGGTGAGTGAGGTGAGGAACTTCATGAGCAGCCGCTTCTCGATGAGCGAGAGGGCCGACGACTGGAAGATGTCACTCCGGCTGAACGGCAGCCGGAACCAGTCGCCATCAGACCACGTAAACAGCCCTTCCATTCCTGCAGACAGACAGACAGTCAGACGCACAACAACACGAGGACATGTTGTATACGCCTGATGTTGGTGTGATGGCACGTGTACTGGCCTTTGAATTCCAGGTATCTGGACACCCCCGATCGCAGAAGAATGTCAACTAGGTCGCTGCGGCAGTACAGCAGCCGGGGACAAACGTCCACACAGAACTGATTCGATTGCCGCACAAGCCGCTCTTCAGTCGTCTCACATCCACCGCCACCACCACCACCACCACCAGAAGCCGAGGCAGAAGCAGCAGAAGCTGGCTCACTTTCGTCGAGCAGGAACGGTTCAGTGGCCATAAAGCGGTCCACAAAACACGATGACGTCACGCCGCTATCGCTGCCGACATCGTCCAGCGGCACCCACTCTTCGCCTGGTGGTGGTGCTGTTTGGCCATCTGCCTGGAGCTGTTGATCTGTGGGTGGCTCGGGTTGTTCGCGTCCCTGTGACCACAGCTTGAGCTGTTTGTAGTTGAGGCTGCTCCAGTTGCCGCCATAGTAGTCTCGGCCGTCCAGATGAAGCACCTTCAAACCACAGCGAGACAACGATCTGAACAAACAGAGGTAAAGACGAGGGCGAATGAACACGCGTGTTGCAGTCGTCTGTTTGACTGTCCTAACGCGGCGATGAGGCATTCGATGAGTCCCGTGCCGACGACGCACACGTCGAACTCCCGCTCGCCCTCGTCGAGGAGCATGCGGCTGAGGTTGCGACGACGGACGAGGGCCAGAAAGCGAGGGCTCTGATCTCCTTCGCAAGCAAAGTGCCACGACTCCAATGTGCTTAGGGTGTCTATGAAACCTTCGCTAGCCATCAGCTCGCAAGTATGAAAGCTCTCTCACCCTTGTTACCTTCCATACTCCCCAGTAACAAACAGCAACAAAAGGGAAACAACCACAATTCAATTGCCAAGCCTTTCTGAGTTTGGTGGTGTACGCCTTCAGACTACCAACGGTGCGCTGAGTGCATGCTTGGTGCATGCGGAAGAATGACTTACAGCACATTCAATCATTGAAGCGAACGATGCAAGTGCGAAGGCGAGACCCGAAGGGCCGAGCCGAGCCACGACTAGCCACAGATTTGACGCATACTGATTCATGGGTGGGACGGCAGGTCAGTCAATCCTATGGTCCCTTTCCATGCAATCGGACCATTCATACTACTGGGTTGGCAGGAGGATTGAATCAATGCCTGCATTGGCCAACACGATCCACACTTCTCTTTCACGTTCCTCCCCCTGTCCTCCCTCTGTCGACGGCCAAGCAAAATGCCTTTCTTGCGCGACCAAACCAACCAAGCAGACAGACAGCCGACGAGTGACTGAGAAACGAGGCAGGCAGGGCAGAACAGCAACGAGAAATGCGTCCACACGACTACAACACGACTACAAACCTATATATGTATGTACATGTACGCCAGCAAGCGCGAAATGACCCCCGTGGGTTCTTGAGTATCGCTTCAGAGTGTGAGTGTGTGCTCGATGAGTTTGTCGTCGATGGGGGTGGTCTGGAAGCCGAGCATCTTGGTGATCCCTGTGAACGTCGTGTTGTCCTTGCTGACTGTGGCGGTCAGCTGCAATACGCACGCACGACAAACACATGGACGAATATGACGCACAAGAGAGGGGGGATTGGTGGTCGTCTGCTGAAGCTCACCGTTTTGATGCCTTCTGTCTTGGCGATCTCCACGAGCTTGGTCATCATTGCCGTGCCAAGGCCCTTGCCCTGCCAATGGACAAACACACAAACACACAAATGCCCAATTGGTGTATGTGCCCCGAGGTGGCAGGCAGGTGTCGCACCTGTGCAGCGTCGCGAATGAGCATGCGGTACTCGGCAGTGGTGTCGCGCAGACTCCGCTTGCGGTAAGCACAGAACCCCACCATCCTGACACACACAACACAAGGGGGGATGTACATCCTTGTGGATTCTTGACCCCTTGGCTCCGTTTTCCCTACCGCCCCTTGTCGTCGGTGGCGATGAGGACGATGCCCCTGTCGTAGAGCGAAATGCCAGAGGAGGACAGAATGAGATGACGCCGATCAGGTGAGTGAACCTGCGGTTACCGATCGTAGTCGGTGTTGCACAGCTGGGACAGGCGGCTGTGGGCCGTCCGCTCAGCAAACGACACGTCCTTGAAAAACCGCTGGCGAAGGCTGTGCAACCAGAAACAAGGGAACGTGTTTCGGCATCAGTCTCTCTGCGCCTGCGTGTGTGTACCTCACCTTCGCTCAGAGATATCGGTGTGGAACTCGATTAACAGAGGCTCATCCTGACAAACAAAGCGCAATGTGCTCATTATCTCTTCTCTTTCCCTATCTCTCTGGGGTTACCGATGCACGGATGGGTCTCACAGTGACAACCTCGTTGTTGCGTAGCGTCACTTTGGACACGTACTCCAATGGGTAGCCGCGGATGGCCACCTTGGGCACCTTTTGGCCAGGCTTGGCCACTATGACGCGTGCATCGAGGGCCAGCAGCTGGGACGGCGAGGCCAGCAGCGGGTTGATGTCGCACTCCATGATCAGTGGCTGGTCAACCACCATGGCAGAAAACGACACAAGTATCTTCTCGAGCTCGGCGATGTTGATGGGCAGACGGCCGCGGATCTGCACGCACACAAACAGTCCGGTCCAAGGGAAGAAGTCACGTGTATATGTTTCGGTCTGCTGACCCCCTGAAGCGCTTTGTATATCTTGGTTTCTTTCATGAGAGCGCGGGCAGTGACGCTCGTGAGGGGTGGCAGGGCCAACGAGGTGTCATGCATCACCTCCACCAATGTACCGCCAGAGCCAAACACCTGCATGCCCCAACAATCGCATACAGACGCGTGGCTCGGCATTTCATGTGAGTTGTGGGTTCACTTACAACAACAGGGCCGAACTGTGGGTCGACACTGGATCCGACCAGCAGCTCGTAGCCACTCAAATCAGCCATTTGTTGCACCGTCACGCCCTGTTCATTTACGCACAACAACACACACTACGTGTGAGATTTATGTACAGGCCTCAGGCTTGACCTGGAAGTCCTCTGGTGAGTATTTGGCGGCGACGTTCTTTTGGATAAGGTCGAACGCCTCCCGCACCATGTCCTCAGAGCTGAGATTCAGCTGCACGCCCCCCACGTCGGTCTTGTGCGTGATGGTCTCAGAGTTGAGCTTCACAACCACAGGATAACCCAGCTGCGCCACATGACAGTCACAGAGAAAGATGTGGGAAACAACTGTGCGCATGGGTGTGAGTGCTCCTTGGGTGCCTGTACGTCTCGTGCAGCCGTGACAGCGTCTTCAACGGTCTCGCAGAGGATGGTCTCGACCACGGGGATACCGTAGGCTTTCAGAACCTTCAAACATGCCACGGCAAACACAGAATGACGGCAGTCTTCCTCTACCTGGCTTCCTTACACGTACTTGTTTCGACTCCAGTTCCGTGAGGATGCTTCGATCACTGTTGCTAACGTCCTGCAGGAGCCCCTTGACAGCTCGCTGCTTCTCGAGCAGCTCGGGCGTCACTTCAATGCGAGCCTGTCGATACATCCACACGACACGCACGCACGTGTGTAAGTAAGTATGAATTGTTGATGCCGTCAGTCGGTGCGTGGCCGTACCGTGGGAGTCTCGTACAACTTAAGTTCAGACAATCAGCAAACGCATGCCTATGCAGTCGTCCATTCATTTATTCTGTCTGTCTTATGGCGTGCTTGCCTTCTCGAGGCGAGATCTCAGGCTCCAGATCTTGGCAAACACCGCAGCGGCACTGATGAAACGGACAAACTCAGTCATGATCCTTCGCCTCACCCATTTGGTAGATCACCTGTCCGGGTACGGAATTGAAGGCACTCCGTTCTGTTCATTTCAGCCCGCGTACATGCGTAAATAAAATAGACACGGATTTGAATATGCCTGGATATGTCGGAGGAAATGACCTTATTGAGGAGCTGGGCACCGCGCTCAACCTCAGAACCTACACGTACATACACCAAGGTACAACACCTACTTGCATACACTTACAGAGGTGAAACATAAAGAGTCGCGTACCTCCCATCCAGCTCGCGATCACAGGCACACGAGATTTGTGGGCGGATGGCAGCACCATCTCGGCTGTGTCTGCGGACACACGAGGTGACGGAAGTGCAATGCTGGTACCATGGCAAAGCGAGAAGTGTACGCATGCAAAATGCCTCTCACTTGTAGGCTCCGTCATGTCCTAAGCGCAGAGGCGGCAACACCCGATTCACACACAAAGTATCGTCCGTCTTCGCGTGCAGTTACCTGCGGTGAGAGTACGACCAGCATTCCGTCACTGTTGGGGTCCTCGGCCACAACCTCCACTGCCTTGGCATACGTCTCAGGCGACGCATCACCCAACACGTCAACAGGATTGGAGTGGCTCCAAGCTGGAGGAAGAAACTGGTTCAGTCTGCACACAAATACATATACACACGTGTACATGGCTTCTGGTGTACGCGGCACGTGTTGGCTCACTTGTTGATGGTCGACTCATCGAGTGTGGCAATCTCAGCGTCGTTGAGAGCAGCAGCATCCGTCGCCAGCACGCCAGGACCACCGGCATTCGTGATGATCACCAAACGGGGACCTGCATACCAGGACGCGCATACACTCTGCGACACGTCACCCGCGTATTGGTAGGCCCCGTCTTACCCTTTGGCAGGTTTTGTTTTGCGAGTGTGAGTGCGACATCGAACAGCTCTCCGATGGTGTCAACTCGCAAAACGCCTGCAGAAGGGACGGGCAGCCCATTGTGTTCCACTTGCTCATGCGTGTATGCGTGTTCCACATCAGACCTGCGCGCTTCATGGCGGCATCGAAGATGTTATCAGCGCCCGCAAGCGAACCCGTGTGGGACGAGGCAGCCTTGGCAGCAGCCTGCACGCAGAAGTGCGGTGTGTACTTGATGGGTGTGGTGTGCATTGTGGGTGGCTGACTGCTTGCCTCGGTCCGGCCAGCCTTGATGACAATCAAAGGCTTCTTCAGCGCGACCTCCTTGGCAGCGGACAGAAAGGCACGCGCGTCGCCTGTTTGACCAAGGCACAGCAAGAAAGCACGAGGCCGCAATATAGAAGAACATGTAAACCTCATTGCTGTCTTCAGTTCGTACCGATTGCTTCCATATACATCAATATGGAATCAGTGTGAGGATCCTTGCCTTAAGATCAGATCGGACGGATCAGACACCTTTCTGCCATGTGCATGTCCTGGGATTTGCTGCCTGCATTACCGAGGTAGTCGATGAGGTCTGCCCAGTTGACATCAGCCATGGAGCCTATCGAGACGAACGCCGAGAATCCGATCTTCTCCTTGAGTGACCAGTCCAGCACCGAAGTGCACATCGCGCCCGACTGAGAGATGAAACCGATCTTCCCGGGCAGGGCCATCTCTGACGGCAACAGGTGAGTCAGCATCATAGCTACGCACTAGACGTCAGCGCCCACTCACCTGACGCAAATGTCGCGTTCAGACCAACGATCGGATTCATGAGCCCCTGCAAACGCACAAGAATAGCCACACGCGTTGGCATATAGTGGTCTTGTCCGCACCAGGCAGTTGGGCCCGACGATGCGGATGCCGCCCTTCGCCGCCGTCTCTAACAGCTGCACGCATGTGGCAGACGCACACAGGAAAACTCATGTCAAACGCATGGAGGGAAAGCAAGTGACTTTTTGAGTTTCTGTGTTACTTGTTCTTCCAACTTGACGCCCTCTGGACCTATCTCCTTGAACCCTGCAGAGATGACTACCGCACCTCGAACGTTCTTCTCGACACACTCTGCCATCAGGGCCGGGATGCCCTTTGAAGAATACCCAGAGCACCACATCTCAGCAATGAAGGAACGAGTAGTGAACCTACCTTAGACGGCGTGACGATCACAACCAGGTCGACGTCACCAGGAATCGCCTGTCACATGCACGAAGCATGCACTCGCTCCTACGGCGTACGTCTACGACACTGCCTTTTCACCTACCTTGACGGAAGGGAAGCATTGCACTCCCATGACCTCTTCACGCTTGGGATTCACTGCATATATGGGCCCGCTGAACCCGCCCGTGACGAGGTTGCGCATCAGTGTGCCGCCCACACCTGCGATCAGAAGACACCCACGTGCAAACAACCGTCACCTGATCACCCATGTGCCCCGACACCCTCACTTCTCGGCTTGTCTGTGGCCCCAATCACTGAAGAGGGGAGGAGAAAAGAAAACAGAAAACACTCCATATGCGCCACAGAGGAATGCCTTTTACATTTTCATTCGTACCAGCGACAGAGCGCGGCGTGAAGATGGGACTGAGCCCGCTGTCTTGCACCGTCATGATGGCCTCGACAGGATCTGGGGGCGCCGTGGCAAAGTCGACCTCCTTCCATGTTGAAGAACTGACACTCGAAGAGAACCGGACGGGCAGCTTACTGAGGAAGCTGTAGGCGAGAACAGATGTGGGATGGCTGATGATGCTGGCTCCCAGGCCCGTCTGTGGGAGAAGGCTGCTGCCCTGCCGCCGGGCACCAGCAGCCGCCACACGCAAAGTGCTCGCGAAGCGAGGAAACATCTCGAACCTCGTGAGGTGGTGGCGACGGTCGTGCAGGGGGCCACACGACGAGAGGGCGCGCGAAAACGGCCCGGGGGAGAGAAGGGAGAAACTACTACTAGGCGCCCCCGAACAAGGGCGATCGCGCTCACCTGTGATGTTGATGATGGAATGAATGGAACATCCATGTCAACGAAACGCTGCGTGGCGCAGCATGTTACGACTGAATTAACGCCACTGGTCTGGTGTGGGTGATCCACGTAAGCTCTTTTGCCGCGACAAAATGTCAAGGGTCATCAGTGATAGACATATGCGCCCCGCCGCCCCAGCTGCCTGGCAGACATCCAACGGCGCTCAAGAAGTGAGCAGACCGTATCCCGTGCAGCCTACAGTCCTTTATTCAGAAGGACCTCTGTCACCGGCTCCCCATCTTCCGTCCTCAGTTCATGAAATGACGGCTCGAGATGCGTGACAGAAAGCTTCATTTTCTGAGGGAAGAGGGCGATGGCGGCAGGCAAGGCGCCCCACAGGCTCAAGGAGATTATGCTCACCTCCGTAAGCACCTATATGACATACAAGACGACACAATGTGTTGACGCTGTGACGACTGATGAGAAGTGTGGGCAATATGATACCTTCAAGGCTTTGGTCTTGCTGACAAGGGGTATCCTGAGGGCAAGGGCGATGAGCGGTGGAGGGAGGATAAGGACGGGAGCCGGCAAAACGATTCGGGATATGGCCACTTGTGTTAGTGCATGTCTGGCTGCCAGCCGGGATTTGCCGAGCGTTCGACCGGACGAGTCCTGGAAACAGTAAGAATGTGTTTTCTGACGCCTGCATTATGTCCGGCTCACCTCAACGGGGATGCCCTGCAACAAGAACGGGGAATGGATCTGCTCTGGATTGTGAACTGTGCTTTTATGGCTCACTTCAATGAGTTCGTTGCTTCTCATGAGCACTGCATTGAACACCCCAGCACCTGCCACTGCCGTGAATGGAACCACCCTTTGGAGCACTGTTCTGGAGCCAAGCGACATGCCGCTCAGACAGAAGGGAAGATGCCGAGAGTCTCCGTTCACCCCACAACCTACCTCATGCCAGGCGAGAGCGTGGCTCTTTTGAGCCCTTCGTTCAGGCCCACCGCCAAGCTGACAGACACCGCTGTGGCAGAACTGCATATACAGCCGCAGACAGGAGAGGAGAAGTCATGGTCTCGCTGGTCCATCGTATTGCCTCTGCAATGAGAGTGCCTACCCGTAAGCCATCAGAGTGTTCTTAGTCTCATTTCTTCTGGCCTCATCGGACGGATCCTTGGACTTGTTGGCGTTCGCCCAATTGAACCTACAAGACGAAACAAGTTCACGTGGGGACCTACATCGAGTTGTTGAGACGAGAGATGTCGACCTACAGCGCGTTGTACGTCTGGTTGACCTACACCGGTAGACACCGAACGATTTGGTGAGTTGCGCTGGCTGTCCACCCACTGTACCTACCCATTGCCAGAGAGCAGCATTGGCGACCGTCGGGGGACTCAACAACATGCCTGCAGGACGTATACATGGATGTATGTTGTATGTATGTAGATCTGCGTCGAACACCCCTGCGGCAGCGCCTCACCCACCTGCCACGATGGGTATGTTGACAGGCACGAACGCAGCCAGTCGGAGGGGGAGGGGGATGGGCTCGTGGGTCTGGGGATGCACACTGGCATCCAGAAGCGTCTGCGCCTCCCATAGCCTCTTGAGCTCGGGGGAGCCAGGAGGCGGTGCCGAACCGGCCTTGCTGAAACCAACACCCGACAAAGCATATGAGAAGGTGGTGGAAGGTTATGACATCATTCGCCTCACTTTTTGAACTCATCGATGAGGGCCTGCGCTTGAAGCAAGTCTGCATCCGTCTTCAGCAGAAGGGAGGGGTCAATCAGTTTGACGAAGTGCTGTACGCGACCAAAGTAGGTCGACTGGTCAGACGCCATGAAAAACTGAGGTAGGGTAAATGATGTGACTTTGGCGTTAGAGCACGTTGAACCTTGCACAAAACTGACTCGAGGCACATGATTCGGAATTCGTTTTTCGCATCAGCTGCTGTATTGTCTTCTTGGGGGATCCTCCTCATGTTTATGACTCTCTGGCGATATCGAAGAACCCCGGCCATTGCAGACGAAGGAAGATCCAGCAGCAAGCGTGTCCCCCTTTCTGGTTTCCTTTCAGAGCGTGGTGATGAGAGAAGTTCGTGGCTTCCTCCAGTTCTTCTCTCCTCGATTGCTGATGGTCGAGGATTAATTGTCCTGACGACAACCAACTGCGGCATGGTGAGAGTTGGAACAGATTTTTGTTTGCAATGGCGAAATTCCCTCACGTCTTCGCTCCCGCCTATCAGGTCGACTTTGCCGTCAATTGGGCCAGGAGTGTCCAGAGACAGGGGATTGAAAACTTCCTGATTATCTGCCTCGACGACAAATGTATGGAGATTCTAGTGCAGGTGTTCCCCCGCAATGTAGCCCGGGCTCCATCTGAGAGACAGCTTTCAGGGACCACTGTTGGGGCGGCAAAGCATGGAAGCACAGGCTTTGCGGCTGTCGTTCAGACGAGACCCTTTTATATTCGGGAAGTGCTATCGAGGGGCTTCTCCGTCCTCTATAACGATGTTGATATCGTGTGGAGGAGGAGTGTTCTCCCATACATCGATGACAGCTATGATATGGCGGTCCAAATCGATAATACCGACCCAACGGACTATTGCACATGCATTATTTTCTTTCGGCCGACAGCGGCTTCTATCGTACTCGTGGATCGGTGGCAACAGATTATGAACGGCAACACGAACCCAAGAAAGAAGTCGTCGCGTCTCAATCAACCATCGTTCAATCGAGCGATAAGGGAGATGAAGGGGAAGATGAAAATGAGGGTTCTTCCTCGGACACAGTTTCCTCCAGGCCGATACTTCTTCAATACGTCATACTCTCTTCCCACACATTCTTTGAGCCCATCAAAACGTGATGAGGTGGTCTGTGTGCATGCCAACTGGATGAAGGGTGCTGACGTGAAGCAAGACCAGCTGAGAAAGCATCAATTATGGGATGTTGACACAGGCCTGTCCAGTACATGTCTGCAGACTCGATGATGAACGTTGTCTTTGTCGGAAGGCGACTGACTATGAGTGCTGCAATCTCAATGCACAACTCAAAGGCGCATTTAATCAGTTGCGTGCCTCGGGCCTTGCTCTTCTTTTGTTTCAACTTCCGTCAGACTGCATCCACGCGCCGCAGAAGGACAGACTCTCTGTCGGCCGTGCAGAATTGGTTGGAGACACGATGTGTCACCCTTGGAGACGAGCTTCTGACAGGTATAAAACGGATCTGCAGGGGTCTTGGTACCAGCGCTGTCTTGTACGGTGGATCTTGTTGCGTATCGTGCAAGGCCTTATTGTGAATTACGCGGAGTGTCTCCAATTTGCCCAATAAATACGAGAGGCACCGAAGGTGCCAAATCGCCGCAGGCAGGCCAGCCAGGGTGGCTCCGCGTCGGTCTGCAGTCTCACCGCCGGAGATGGTGACGCGACATTGCACAAAGAAATTATTGGTCGAATTGTGCGCTTGACAGAGACATGAAGGTCTTTCACGATGTGTCGTGGGTACATTAATGACAGCCCTTACAACATCAAGGGGGATTTTGTCGGCGAGTGTTTGTGTATTGGTGGAATCAACCCGGTGACGGCCCTTCGCATCATCGCAACAGCTTAGAGGCTCAGTTTTTGCCTGATCTTGAGTGTGGCGATCTCGCCTTCCTGCTCCTGGATCAACGCATCGATGCGAATCTCCAGCGAATTCTATTACGACGAGGCACACGAAGATGTCGCGAGAGACACGTTCATGTCTCTGCATACCCGTGTTTGTAGCAGAATACGGATGTCCTCTTCCGTCGACGAAAGCGCAGCCTCGATCGTCGAAAGCCACGTCTTGAGCTTAGCGCATTCATCGGCGAGCATCGGTTCGATTGCCACACGGGGACGTCCACGAGAATTGCGCTACACGAAGGGAGCAGCAAGGCAAACAGACCTTCCTGTGGATTTGTGCAGACAACTGTTTGCCTTGCTGCTCTCCGCGCATCGTTGAGCCACATCGATTCTCATCTTGAGCGATGAGAGGGCCTCAACCATGCGCAGTCGCTCCCTCTGCAGCTCTGGACGCACGTGACTCATCGTCTCGTACATCTGTGCAATTATGTCCTTACCCTGAATGTCGACGGACACCTGTGCGTGTTCCTCCTGCAGTTTCATCCTTTGACGGCGGGCCTCCTCGATGTGACACTGGATGACGTTGTTGATGGAGGCGCCGAGGAGCCGCCTGAAATTCAATGTGGTGGGTACATGTTCGTGATACATGACAAAAGTACGGTCAATGTTCGCAAACCTTTCACTTTCAATCTGCGCCCGTCTCCGGACTATTTCATGGCAACGCCTGGAAGCCTGTTTTTCCAACGGTACAAGCACAAGCACAAGCACAAGCACAAGCATACACGGATGTCTGTGTATGTCGTCTCTACTTGAGTGCACATCCGTCTTGTGTGACAGATGTGATTCTCCGTGGCCAGATCAGTGAACTGCAACCGAGCACACACGCACATACACACAAAGGAGAGCAAAAGATCCGCCTCATGAACTTTGAAAGAAAAAAATCCCAACCTGAAAGTTCATGCGGCACTTCAAGCTCTGCGTTTTCGCCTTCGAATGGTGCGCCGCATTGACTGGAGCCGTACATTACAGCAGACTGAGTGTGCTGTGTAAGACACTTGACACTTACAATAAGAGACTTGAATTGGCTGTTGGCTGCCAGCATCCTCGTCCCACCCATGCCATCTGTGCGCGCACACACACGCGTACGCACGCAGTCCTTTTTGCATCTTATCTTGTTATGCATACGTGTGGTGAATCGGCGCCGGCTCTCTTCCTGCACCTGTTTGCTGTGTGTTCCCTTGCCCCTCTCGACCGTCGACGAGTTCAGCCGGCTGTACATCAAGCAAAGGAACGAACTCGGCAGGTTGGATGGGCGGAGCCTCGGCCATATTTCCTCAGGCCGGCTCCGCGAAAAGGGGAACTCGGGAGGGGAAAAGGGGAAAGGGAGGGAAGGGGAAGCGAGAGGGGGCTGCAGAGTTAGGGCACGTCAAACCATCCGTTCGAGGTTGCAGTTTCCTTCAGGGTTAGTTTTGACCGCATTTCGTACAGAGCATCTCAACATGGTGCCTCAGCCGCACATCATGCTCGACGTGGTACGGAATGCTCGACGTTCCGTGTTCATGCTCTGCGGAACACGGAACATGGTTATGCAGGGTCAGGTTCGCGAGGTTTGCATCACCGTGGGGGACCCCGCCCGCGCACTCAAGATGGCCGAGATGTGTGAGCAGCACAAGGAGCTGGCGTACAACCGCGAGTACAGGTGACCAACACCGAGATGGGTGGTGCGCATAGAGAGGCCCTGCATGAACATGCCTGCATGGGATGGTTAGCTGAGCTGATGTCGGTGCACGTGCGTATGATGCATGCGTGCGTGTGTTGGTTCTCAGATCGTTTGACGTGAAGCACAAGGGCAAGGCGTTCACCATCATCAGTCATGGCGTTGGCGCCTCGGGCGCGTGCATCTGCTTCGAGGAGCTCATCAAATGCGGGGCCAAGGTGCGCTTCACAACAGACGCACGTGGTGGTGGGTGGGTGGGTGCGCATGCATGCACACATACATGCGCATGTGCTGCGTGGGGCGTGCGTGTGCAGGTGATCATGCGTGCGGGGACGTGTGGGAGCCTCATGCCCGACAAGTACGGGCAGGTAAGCAGTGCGAAACAGATCCAGAGATGTGCCGAGACACGCGCACCTGTTCAAGTGTGTATGATGCATGGGCCTTCAGGGCGATTTGATCATCTGCACCGGCGGCGTGCGCGACGAGGGCACCTCCGAGCGCATGATCCCCATGAGTACACACATGCACACTTCGACACATGTACGTACACGTATGTGAGGGTTTTGACCTGATTGTGTAGGTTACCCTGCCGTGGCCGATGCGGAGAACGTGTTGTTGCTGGAGCAAGTCATCAAGGAACAGGGTATGCACACCTGAGGGTGTGGACGCGACCCATTCGTGCATGCGGTTGTGCACAGGTGCCAAGTACGCCAAGGGGCTGATGTTGTCGTCGGACGTGTTCTACCCCGTCATAGCACCGACCAACTACGAAATGTGGGCCAAGGTAAGGACGCTCCCGCTGCATTCATACCACCCATGGGTGCCTGTTCTTGCGTATCGGTGTGGTGTTCACATCCGTGTATGGCTGTTGTGGTGCCAGGCCAATGTGATAGGCATTGAGATGGAGGTGTCGGCCCTCTTCGTGCTCTGCCAGATCAGGTGAACCACAGACAAAGATTCGGTTCGCGTGTATGTAGGGCTGCACTCTCATGCGTATGAGTGTTCAGGGGCTGCGCTGGCGTGGGTCTCTGCACCATCGATGGCTCGCCACTCAAATGGGACTCGGTATGCGTACGGGGCGCACAGGCCTCACCCAGCGTGTACGTGAGTTTCGCATGCATTGTGCTTCAGGGCGACTACGACCCCCACGGCACCAAGGTGGCCGAGGGCAAGAAGCGCATGCTCGAGGCTGCCATCGAGTGGGCCTCCCGCGCCTCCAAGCAGACATAGACAACTAACACAACACACACTCGTAGATACTATCGATGCCTCACCACACATGCATAGACACATCCATGGGACTTGTGTGCACCATACACATCCCATACACATCCCGCGCATCCCGCGACGGAGGGGAGGGTTAGTAAGAAGAGGGAGTGGGAGAGAGTTCACACATACACACCATGCAACACCATCCATACCCAACACGAGGATTTCTCCGTAGGACCTTTCTTGGGCGGATGCAGTAGGGGGCGTTGTGTTGTTTCTTTTCCGTCTGCTTTGCTCGCCTGGCTGCCGTGTCTTGTGAGTGACATTTGGGGGGCGCTCCGTGGCCTACATATGTTGTCACTCACATACGCTATATAGTGTGCACCCGTATGTTATGTGTATATACGTAACATATATATGTATGCCTGAGTGTGTGTGGTTTTCAATGGAATGGCTGTGACGGGAACGGAAAAGGACAAACAAAAGGAAATTTTCCTTCGAGTTTGACGTCGTACAAAACACGTCTTGAGCTCCCCGCCCTACCTCCCCTCCTGTATGTACGCATTCCCGTCTTTCCTGAATGCCTCCCATCCCAGCTTATGGACAGAGGACTTGGAGTAGATTCAATATATTGGAGGACTTGAGCCACGTATTGAATGCCTCTTGCGGCGCTCCGACTCTTCTAGACACCCGCCCGTCCTGTGCGGTGCAAAACCCGGAGACAAATGTTACATACATCCACCATGAGACATCAGCGATGTCTTGGATCCCATCCACATCAAACATGCAGCTTGTCTTGGAGGAAGTGTGTCTTGGAGCTTACCTGTCTGTCCATCCACATTCTTACAGAATACTGTACTGTAATGCATTACAGTCGAATGCAACTAAGTCAGCAGCAAAAAAACACTGTGGACGACCGGAGTGATAGAGAGGGGCGTCAGGAGCATGAAAAATCTCGGCGAGCTTTTGGCACAAGAGGAACAAGACAAGGAGGTCATCTATGTATGAAGCGAAGTGTGTCTTGGAGCTTACCTCTCACACCGACAAACACCATCTACATCCGACTGATTCCCTGCAGTGAACACAGTGGCACACATTGCATCCCATAGGTGTCTCCCTCATTCTTCACCCGCTTTGTTGACGACCGTCTTCCTCCCACCTGGTGGTACCGAAGCGTCAGCGGTGTTGGCTCACTCCGTCAGAGCATATTGCCCCCCCTCGCCCCCATCCTACCCAGTGAGAAGTGGTGACGGTGGGCGATCGTCCTGCTTAGCTCTTTGTATTTCTCCCTCTTGTCGTCCTGCCACCTGACGCCACTCTGGTCAATTGCTCCAGGAATAATGCCGTCCAATCCCCTCCGTCCCCAGACGATGCTGCTGCGCAGCCGCTGACGACATAGACAGCAAGAGACAAGACTAGTTAAGGCGATAGAGTAATGTGGGGCCATCTCTTGTATCACACTTTCTGTTCATGTCTCATGTTGTCGGCCAACAGAAGCATCGCTTTCTCTTCTTGATCAGTGGGAGCAGCTGATGGGACAAGGAGACAAGACGCAGTATTACTCACAACAAGCGGGGTATTTTCTCACAGAAACCCTTCGGCGTGACTTTCCTTCCCGCCATCTGGTCGGGTGCAAAACGCCTCTACCAGAGGCGAATTCATGAGGTGGGCTTTAGAGAAGAGAGCTCTAATGGGACATTGAGTGCTCTTTCTGGGTCGGCAGGTGGCGTCATTTGCATTCAGGGAGAATCATCGATTGTGGCACTCGCCATAGCCCGAAGCGTCTGAGTCGTTTCTTCTTTTTAACATGGCCTCTCACCCAGTTGGCGTGTACTACAACTACTTCGCTTCTCTGCTGGTTGCTCATTCGGTTGAAATACACATAGCCAGGGGGGAAGCGCTTGATAGGGCTGAGAATGTGTACAGACAGACCTTCTTGCAGCCTTTTGGCAGCCCGGTTGAACCCAGCTTGATTCTTGTTCTCTGCCTTCATCTCCTCTTCCCATACGTCGAGCAGCCTGAGGGAGTTCCTCGTGGGCCGAATCGCGAAAAAGCACGTGCACAAGTTCAGACTCTGGTCAGTCTTCCGAACGTCGTTCTGCACGACGAGGTCCTTGTCTCCGGGGAGAAAGGGTAATGGATTTTTCTGCCAGATCATGTCGACGTCACTGTACAAGGCAGTGTAGCCTTGTTGAAGGATCTCGCGAACAAAGAACGACCGCTTCTTGACAAGAGCACCGAAGCCCTCGCTGTTGAACGCGGATGCAGTCGTCGATATCATATTGTTCATCGTGGGTCCCTTGACAATGTGGTCTCCGTAATGGAGGTGGAGGTGCTTGAAACACGCGTTATCGCGGCAAATTATGATCCAATTGTGAATGTCGAGCTGCGACAGACTGATAGCCCAGTTGATAGCGAAATCGGCCTGCAGCTCAGAGACACGACATCAAGTATAACGCAACTTACCCGTTTACGACCCACCATGCCACAGTTCACAGTTGTGAAGATAATCAATCTGCGAGAATCGGCAATTGATGAAAGCAGGTATGGAGAGAGCCAGTCAGAGGTGAAGTTCGAAGAGGACTTGTCGTCTGCGGTCCCCCCCTTGAGTGTGACTCCTAGCAACTTCTTCAGGGCGTCGTATGAAGCAAGCAGAAGTATGAATGCAAGGGCCGCAAAAATGAGGACACGTTTTAACGTCATTTGCTGGGATTGGTCAGTCGGTTAAGGGTTTGACGAGATAGCTGGGATGGTGGTGGTTAAGGGTAACATTGTCCGTGTGTCCATGCCGCTGGGAGTCAATCTGAGTGATTCATGGGTGGTGGAGCGAGCAGACCGATACGGAGAGCAGACCCCAGTGCATGCATCGGCACCCGTAATCTCGTACTCACATTGCTCGTGGGCCTTGCGTCACTCGTTAGTAGACCAATCACCCAAGCAGCCGGCTTCCGCTTCGTGCCCCTCGCTGCGGAGACATTCGCCAGATGGGGAGACAAGACCATGGATTTTCTCAAGATGCTCGCCAAACGAAAGGCTCGCCCCACATCCATTCCCATGGAGGAGGACGTCAACCTGTCCGTCGAGCTGATGAAGCACAACGCGTTCCATGTGGCGAGTCGTGCGCAGCGCGCGGCGGCCGCCAGAGGGCCACGGAGGGCCAGCGCGTTTCCGGAGGACTTCGTCAGCCGTGGGCCATACAGGCCACACAGCAGCCCCGCTGGGGGCTGTGAGGTGGCTGGCTGGACCTGGGTTCTGAACGTGTGTGTCATGTTGCATGTCTCACGCTTGTTTGCAGTGTGCGACATGTTTTCGCAGTCGACGAACGTTGTCCATTGTTTCTGCATGTATTGTTTCCCTTGTATTCCCTTGCTTGATATGAACTGATGCTTAGATGAACTTCGTCGCCCGTTTCATGCATCTACTTAAAGTCTCGTTAGTAGTGATATCTGTTACTGTGAAGAACATGTCAACATCACACAATGTCCCCATTCACCTCAAGATCCCGCCGGCTGACGGTGTGCATGAACCGGCTGTGGTGTCTTTCGCCAAGGGCGGCCAGGCGGCCGGCACTCAGTGGCACTGACGCTGTGGGACTTTGCAATCTCGTGAGTATTGAGATTACAAAGTCCCGCGCACGTTGACGTCGCGGTGTGCATTACAAAGCAGACGAGTCTAACACCGTCACGGTGTTTTTGCCTCGCGCACTGAGCAGAAATTTCTCAAGTCCGATGAGTCAAACGCCTTTCGTGGTGGTACTGATTCCGGCCTGCGGCACGTTTGTTGGCAGCCTGTTGGCCCTCTGCATAAAATGCCCAGGCCTTGCCCTCTCTCTTTTACAGAACCTCGCGGGCGGCATTGTGTTTGCGGCTGTGGGATGTGAGATCCTGCCACAGATTGTGCTTGAAAACGGACAACTCATGCCAGATCTCCTCGCCATTGCGTTTGGGTTCGCTCTTGGTCTGCTGGTCATTTATTTGGCTAATGGCATGGCGGAGAACAGGACACGCGCCGCGGGGATCGGCACACACGTGGGAACCCAGCCCGTGCGCCCGAGGTGGCGTCGCAGAGTGAGAAGCGGCCGACACGACAGCAGAGCGAGCCTGAGGAATGGTCAGCACTCACATTCATCGATCAATTCAGTATGACATCTGTATTGGGTTGGATGCCTGTGTGACTCTGCCTCGTCTCAGGTCCATCTATGCCTATGGGGGAAGACGCTCATCATTCATACGAAATGCATGCCAGGTATGTGACATACGGCTCAACACAGCTCGTCTCTTTCCCTATCGTGCATTATCAGGCCCTCGGCGTATCTCAGCAGCGACTTCGCGGGCGTCAGGGTGAGTCCTTGACGGCATCGCTCATTGGCCGCGACACGTACGCCTTCTTTTGGGAGTGGTTCACGGCAGAGACTGAAGACACCGAACCCTTTCCCACTGGTAATATACAATCGTTGCTTCTCTGTCTGTGTGCCTCTGCATTTATTGTTTGAATACGGTCAGGTTTATGCAGTGCGCTAATTGTGGATGTCTGTACGGCTGGAGTGCTGATTGGGCTGCTAACTGTGGTGTCTGTGAGCACCGGCGTCGTCCTATCGACAGCGACCTTCCTCTACCTTATGTTCGTCGGACTGGCCCTCACCACCACCCTCAGATCACAGACGGTCGCCAAAGCCGTCATGGCCAGCCTCGTCGCCCCCGTAGCTTCATACTGCGGCGGTGTTTTGGGCATCGTCATCCCCATTTTCTTCGGCGAGAGCCATTTCATTTTTGTCTTCGTGCTGTCATTCTCCTCCGCAGCGCTGCTGTACTTCGGTAAGCAGCAGCACCGCAGCTGCAAACAATGGAGAGGGACGTCATTGTCGCCTTCGTTTGCATGTTTGCCAGTTGCAGAAGAGATCGCTTTGGAGGCAGGCAGACTAGCGACACCCGCAAGACTTGTCATGTGCTTGTCGTCTGGGTTGTCAGGCATCTGAGAATGTCGGCGGCAGCCAGGTGACATGCGTGGCCTACTTCGCGGGCTATTTCTTTTTCCTCATGGCCAGAAGGACCGCACAAGCCATGACACAATAGGATATTTGCAACATGGGTCATTTTTGCAGCATGGGTCATTTTTCTCCCCCTCTCTCTACTATCTACACGCAACGAAACCCCATGCTGGCTTCTTGTTTTTCGTGTTGTTAGTCAAGGGTGCCGCTCCCCATCTACACCCACACAGCTACCCTCTACAGTGTATGTCTGTACACCTACATCTCTCCGTTGCACAGCATCTCCCACGCCAGCACTGGATTCGATTCGTACACCTGGCGGTAGCTCAACAGCGTCACCCTCTCGACCAGCCACAGGACGTGAGGAGGTGGTGGCGGCATGGAACTTGCGCTGCAACAAACACCAGACAAACACGGGGTGTGCCTCTGCCAGTCCGTTTCCCGTTTTCCCCTCTACCCGGGTGCATAGGGGTCAGGGCCGGGATGGGCGTAAGTCCTCTCCTCATTCTCCTTGGCCCGGTCCTCAACCTCCTCGGTGCGGTCCTCATCCTCCTCTGTGGACCACATAAGGAGGACTGCATATTCGCTTTGCGATGATGCGAACATACGGTAGCCTGATCTGTGTTTTTGGACAGGACCACGTCATTATGAGGCCTCAGCCCCTTCCGACTAGCTGTCTCCTCACCCCCTTCCTCATCAGCCACGAGCGAGCCTCTTGGTGCGCAGCTGTGTGGGTGGTTGTCGCATATCCTAAACCCTAGAATTTCCATTGTCTCCTATGACTCTTTCAAGTGGGGCAATCTCTGCAACAACGCATCAGTCGGGGGGGGCTCTGCTACATGAGTTCAAATCATAATTCCCTATACAGGACAGGTCGTGTGCAGAGGTCAATTATGAAACCGTAAACAAACCGTAAGTAGAGTAAACGCGCGCGGGGATTGATCCCTCCTCCCCTTGAGCCTGTTTGAGTCTGCGTGCTGATGGGACTGTATTTGTATGAGTATCACGGACACACAGACGAGTGTTACGGTTAATGACATTTCTCAATCGAGTAAACGCGCGTAAATGCCTGGTAAGCGCAATTTGGATCGACAACTCAATGACATAATCGATAATCAATGTGTCACAATCATATTTGTGCAGCGGCAGCCAGCACCCGTTAACAAGCAAGCCATCGAGATTTGCCTATAGCATGCATTGAATAAAATTTCTTTCGCTTTCGTCAGCGGTCACGCCAAATGACACCTGTCAAAACGCCAGAAATGCCACGCAAAATACTGCGGTTGCACTGAATTCGCTAAATCCTTCTGAAAAGGACGGGCTTGCCTGTCTCCGCTGTCCACGCCAAGACAATCGAATCCTAGTAAGTCCTCAATACCCCCTTATTATCTGAGTCCCCCCCCCCCCTTGCACACTCTTCTGAAACACGTAGTAAACCTAAGAAGACCTTGTCTCCTGACAGCACGCCAATTCAGACTGCAAGCAAAAACTCACAAGCGAAGACGCATAGCCACTTTAGTCACCTGGTTTTGGAATGTCGAGTGACCATGCAATAATGATACCACGTCGTTGTCCCACAACCGATGTTTTATCAAGGCCCTTTTCTTCGACTCACGACCTAATACCCAATTGACATGCACTATTACCACATCCTTCCGCTCCTCCCGTGTCAGAGACTCAGAGGGACGTCCGCGTCGCGTCTTCAAAAACACAGGACCTGCGGAACACGAAAGTATCCCAAAGACTGTTTCGAAAGACTCCTAACCTGATGGAAAAAATGCCGGAGAGAGACTTGCGATAGACACGCTGTTTCTCAGGTTTTTAACGGCTTCCTTCAGATATGGATTATTGTAAGTAATGTTGCGTCTTGTCTCCCTGTGCATCAGCTGCTCCCACTGATTGAGCAGAGAAAGCGCCCCCTCTGTTGGCCGAAACAACATCAGACACGAACAGAAATTAACCACGTCGATCTGGAGGGCGACGTCGAATCGCCTGGATGGCATATACTCCAGCGCGTTCCTCAGCCACACCATGTCAACATCGTTGTACAGGACTGTGTAGCCTCTTTGGAGAATCTCGCGGACGAAGAATGGCCTCGTCATGACAAGAGCCCCGAACGACTCCGTGTTGAATATTGTGGCAGCCGCAGAGACACGCACCTCCTTCGGCGCGCGGACCACATTGTTGGGAAGGCTTTGAGACAGAAGATCGAAGCATCCGTCGTCGAGGCAAACGATCAGGAAACTGCTAGCGCCTTGCCTCTGGAGGCTCTTTGCCCAGTTGATGGCGAAATCGACCTGCAAAGCAGAGGCCCCAGGTGGATGTCAAGACACTGAGACAAGTAAGTGTGAATGGCTAACCATGCCGTTGTTGACGGTCGTCATGACGATTGTGCCATCAGCATTAGCAACCGAAGATAGCAGGTCAGAGGAAAGCCACCCAGTTGAGGCCGGCATTGTCGTGCCGCTTCTCTTTTCACCAATTTCCCGTCCCTCTAGGTGACGTACTTGCGCCGAGCACGAGTCAAGTGCATCTGCGTGCCGGCACCACATCCAGCAGTCGTTGCCCCCTTCTTTCCCCTTGCGCAGCACGACACCCCACATCGGACCGAAGAGGCCCTCTGGGGAGCAGTCCGGCTGCTGCATCACAGGGATGACGTCGTGGATGTCGACGAGCTGACTGCACTGGAAGAGCCTCAAGAAGGCCGCAACGGCCTCCGTCCTGTTGGGTGGCAGCTTGACGGCAGAAGAAGAGCCGAACGGGCGGTAGGTGCCGCTGGGCAGGAGGAAGGCAGCGTAGCCGTTGGGACGCAGGACCCTCTCCACCTCTGTCAAAAAGACACGCACACACGCACAAACGCAAAAATGAAGGCGATTGAAGGGTGACTCACCGGCAGCGTAGTGGAATGTACAGTCTATGCGGTTGAAGACCTTGGCAAAGACAAAGTCGAAGGAGTCGTCTTTGAAGGGCAAGTCGTGCAAATCGCCCCTGACCACCAGTGGAGGCCTCTCCACCAGATCGACACCAATGGCGTACCGCACGCCGGCTTGGTACAATGCCCGCACCTCTTCCCCTGTTGACGCGCCAATGCTGAGGGCATGCGAGTCGCGCGTGATGTAGCCGGCAGACCAATAGCGATCAAACAATCGCACATGCATGTACCTACACCAACCACAGAAGTCAACACCTCGAGACAAAGAAGCGGCGTGCATACCTTATCCACTCGAGCATATCGACGGAGAGCTGTCCTGAAACGTCTTGCCCATCTGAAGCGCTTCTTCTGATGTAGGCGCCGTTCTCCTGTGTTGCGACGGATTCATTGTACGCCCTTCCATTCGCGAACGAACTGGCGTGGCTGCTGAGGGCAGACTGACACGTTTCCGTTGTATTTCGCGCTGCTTCCCGGCCGATGCTCTGCCGTTGGTTCAGTGGGAGGGAATCCATGATAAAGCAGCTGTCATTGGCGACACTGGGGCGCACGAGACGCTGAGCAACAAAGGAAGGCGTTTCTTGTGGACTCGTCTTTCGCTTGTCCGCCGTCCATATGTTTAAGCACTCGTCGGCCGCATCGTCGAGGTCGTGCGAAGCTGACATATTCCTAAGGAGAGGCGAGCCATTGGTGCGATGCTCTAATCTGCTATATCCCCAGCTGACCTTTGGGCAAAGTCAGTATGGAGAATATCAAGGAGGTCCAGCACGGGCCACTCTGAGACAAACAAGACATGCCAGCCGGCCAGCCAAGGCAGCAACAGCTAGCTCACCTGTGCTCAGTAAGGTCCGCAGAGGGATCTGCCTGATGATGTCTCTCAACGGATCCACGAGAATATCTCTCCTGTCGACATTTTGAATCATGGCTGCCGAGATGAGGGCCAGCGGGCACTTGTTGAAATAGCGAGAGGCGTCTTCGAGAAAGAGAGACACACTCTGCCTTTGAGCAACCAGATCCTCTGTGGGCCTCCGTGTACCTTTGGGGACCTCTTGGAGGAGTCGAGCCGCCTCATTTGCGCGCTCTTGCAGAAGGGCCGCTGGCGGCTGGCCACCATTGATTTGCTCTTGCCATGTGCTTACCAGTTCCATGAGAGAGCCGTGGAACGCTCGGAGTGCTGAAAAGTGGTGAAAGAGAGGACAGTCATACGAGTCAAGATCAGGAAGGCCCTCTTTCAACAGAGCAAGCATCCTTAACAAGAGAAAGAATACAAATGAGGGAAGACATCTGGCCCTCTGCGCTGACCTGAGAATCGGCCATGTTGTATTGAGTATGTGGGAAGCGAGACCCAACTTGTCGTACATCTCGTCGAGCTCAGCCAGGGTGTGGGACATGTACTGCTCGAGGGACGCGATGACAGCGTCATTCTGGGGCGGATGGACGGCAAAGAACAGGCGTGCCACGAAGACAACCACATAGCTGTCGGGTTCCCGTGACAGCGAGTTCCAGTCTGTTGACTCGACTTGCCGCAAAATCTTCGCACTTTCTCTTGCTGCGCATCGAAGGGACAGTTCTGTGTCAGCGAAATCAACAGCCTCTGATCGGATGTCAGCCTGATGACGGGCTCTACTGTGTTCCGGTCGCGAGGCTCGGTTGGGAAACAGCAGCTGGAGATGATCGTGGAGGAGTGAAACACGGAGAGATTGGTTGGCGCATGACGCCAGGGCTGCAGTGACGAGGACCACTCCGAGTTTGGCATACATCATCTACATCATCTAAGCAAACATCCGTTTGTACGGAATCGGCTCGATATACGGCGATGTCTCCTGCTCGCCACTCTAGATCTGACTAGAGAGGGCCGGGCAGAAATGGGACCTATGGGTGGTTGAGAGTGGCTGCTGATCAGCTCGCGTCCATGCGCCCTCTGTGTGGCGCGGCAGATCTCCAACTGTCAGTCGGGCTAGCACAATTCACGATGGTGAGGGCGTGAGGGGATGATGCGACCCGCATGTTGATGAGCACTCTATGCCGGTGGTTTTGCATCCTGTGTGGTATCTTGGGTCGGATCAGCCGGTGCTTCCATTGTCGTCTTGGCCTCGTCGTTGGGTCCCCCTGATTTATTGCAAGTCCATGCAGGATTCAGAGTCGTGTGAAAATACCTTTTTCTGATGTCCGTATCAGCAACCAGAGAAGGAATGAGGCGATGACAGTGAGAACGACTGTTGCTGACAGTGACGTTTTCATACAGACTGTGGCACATCAGTAACGAAGTGTCTCCGTTTGGATCCACCTTCACGCACCTAACGCCGCGAGTCTACCAACTCTTCTGGTATGCTCATGTCATTCCTACAACCGTCAACCATGCAATTCAAGTTATTCAACTGAATTAACGTCACTGTCCCGATTTGTCGGTTGTAAAAATCGGTGGAAGATTGCTGTAGAAGAATTGCTTCCATTGCAATCCGACTCTGTCAACAACTAAGCGGTCTCTGTCGACAACGACCCTTCTGTCTCGAATTACGTAATTGATGTGTGACTCATTACTCGAGAGAAAAGAACTCCTACTCGTAAAGAATAAAAACCATCGGTTTTACCGAATTACTAAGCTGGGACTTCGAGGCCAAGGTCCATTGTAAAAAACGCGGAAAACCCTGGCGCAAAACTCAACAAGGATTTCAACTGTCCTGTAGGACATGGTTTCCTTTCCCATTTATCTTCATCAGAACGTTCTCATGGTGTGCTTCTCGCCCTTCTCCGGTCGTTCGCTGCGGAGAAACAATTTCCTTAGGTCTTTTCTAGCCCATTTCTCGACACGAGACCGGTCCAGATCCACACACGAGCCCCGAACCCCTTTTTTACTGATCGGACCGCCCCTATGCGTATGCATTAATGAAAGAAAGTGGCGTTTCCCGCTGCTTTTTCTGGGATGTCCAGCTTTGGCAGCCGCAGGATGCCCATTGCGCCAGCGTTGGCGCTCGCTGTTGCTGCTTCCGTCGTGTTTCTCTTTCGTCTGCGTTCGCTACCGGTCTGGGTCAGTCACTTAATGTGTCCGTCACCTGATGAGATTGCGGTGGCCATACGAGGCGCAATGGAGCGGACCACCCACGAGACAGAGCGATTGCACCATCCTCTCGATCTGTACAAGAATTTGAGGTGTCTGAGGGCACTCATGCCGAGAGAATGGACAGTGTGGGAATCTGCGCCGTACTACGGTGCGAATGTTTCGGTTCGCTCGACAAGCGAGGCGTCCAGAAGGGCAGATGCGTTGTTTCCCGTCAGCTTCCGTCCAGGGCAATTCAAGCCTTGGCTTGACTTTTTGGATTCGGTGCTTGCCGATGTTAGCCTGTCCTTTGCTGACGACAATGCCTTTCTCGAGAGGCACGGGGCTTTTGGTGTCATTGAGGGGTACTGCCGTCATGGCTACTTCAAATACGGTAAAACCCATGACTTTCTCGGGTGCATTTGCGTGATGGTCACATGTCCACCCCTATGGATTGGCGATTTATTTATCGTGCAGGACAGTTCTGCACGGAGTACTGGATCCCCTTTCTCTTGCAGACACTTCGTATAGCCGGCAAGAAAGTGGTCACCGACTGCGACAAAGCTGACTTTATAGTGTCTTGGTATTTTCAGAAGGTAAAGAAGAATAAGCGGCTTATTGATGCAGTCAAATGGGATGATAAGTTTTACTACTTATGCTCCTCTAACGTCCCTAGATGCTGAGAAAGAACAAGGTAATAAGGTAGGCTGCCGTGTATTTCTTATTCGCCTTTCGTACAGGTGTTTCGCCCTGGTGCCATGTGGAGGGGTGTAAGCTCTTCCAATCCACAGGGGCATCGCCAATTTCTGCAACGATGGCCAGAAAATTGCGAAAGAAGTTCGTTAATGAGCCGTCTCGTTTCTGGTTTATTCTAAGCAGTGGCCAGATCAAGTAAGTCTTACTGTTCAGCTCAGGCACCCACCTAGAAGTATATTTGGCATCTGATCAAGTTTTGGTGCTTGAAGGCTCTACGTCAACAAAGCCTTCATGCACCTGACGCCGCGAGTCTCGAAATTTGCAGTGGAGGGCACCAACAAGGATATCCGGTTCTCACGAAGCAACGCGGTACTTGCGGTACTTGTCCCCATAGTAAGTCTGTTTGCGTGTGTGTGTGGCTGCAGATCATAATCCCCGGCTACGTGCAACTTGCAGAGAGACAGCGAATTATTGGGATGACAGATCATACGCCCCTAAACGATTCCAACAATGCCAGTTCAGTTCGTCGACCCCTTCTGTTTGTCTACTGTGGGCACTTCCGGAGGAACGAGGAGAGGAGGTATTTGAAGAAACTTATCGAGTTGAAGCAAATCAGACAAGATGGCCAGAAGGTGTATGTGGGCCACTGCAAGGTGGGGGCGTGGCAATACACTGCATGAGAAAGCGAGGCGCGAAGAGCCGAGCATCACAAGCCATGCAAAGGCGCACAATGGACTGTCATGCAGATAAAAGACTTTGTTACGCGGCTGGTCTCAAGCAAATACTGCGGCACTCCTCGCGGAAACACTCCCTGGACCTCGCGGTTTTACAAGAGCCTCGTGGCCCTCTGTGTGCCCGTGCTATTCTCGCGCTCCTTCCTCCTGCCCTTCCGGCACCTGAGTGAGTCAACGGATAAAGGCATCAAGGGGACCTGGTTTTTATGTCCGTTTTGCGTTTAGTTCCGTGGCACAGGTGGGATTTCCCATTCAAATGCACACACAAGCGGCCACCACACACGGCTGGTATAGTCGCGTTCATGATTAAGCAACTGTTGTGTGGTGTCTCACCTGGGCAGAGTCGTGGTGTATCGCGAGATGAAGAGAAGCGACGGAAGTATCAAAAAAGCGCATGAGTTTTGGTCTGACCTTGTCCAGAGAGAGCATGAGCTTCACGAAAGGCGGCAATGGATGAGGTCAACTAGTCTCCAATACATCCTTACACTCACAGTAATACTTACATTTGTGGCTGCCTTTGTGTTTGTGCAGAACCATACGGCCGTACATTGTGCCCTCGTGCAGACCAGATGATTGTTCTGCAGCCAAACCGTACAGTTCCCTACTTGTACTCGAGCTCAGATTGCTGAAGTTGCAAATGTTTTTAAGGGTCCCCATGGAAAACTTGATGACTTTTCTAATGCATCTATTCTTGAGAACTTGACTCATGGTTCAGTCGTCGGCTATTCGGTAGGCGGCCGGGAGGCGCGTCCTCAGCACTCCCTCCATCGAGTCACGAACTACCTCAACCCTGTCAGTTCTCTGCCTTTCTACGATGTCTTTCTCTCCCGGCCTCACTTGGGCCTCGCTATCTCGATTCCACGCCCTTCTCACTGCACTCCCCTGTTCCCTCTCTGTGTCTGCATCTCTATTCCGAAACACGGGCTTCTCCCCCCGTCTGCTCTCCTCTGCCATGAAAGACTGAAGCTTCTCCTCGTAGCCTTGTACTCGCAGCGGTCGAATGTCGATGCCTAACATTTTCCTCCACGCTAGCAGGCTGCGGACCTCAAAGCTATCACCGATGATGACCGCGGTGCCACCCGCCCCCTGACGTCCCGTTCGGCCTGATCGACGCAAGACAGCACAACACTTTCTCTGTCATCATCTGCCAATATCTATTGGTACCTCCTACCCGCGAGGTGCTGGTACTCATCTGGTGTGCGAGGCCTTCCCAGCACGAACACCATGTCGACCTGCACGATTCCAAATGGCACATTGCCAGTTGTGTACTCTTTTGCATCGTTCTCCGTCCATGCTTCACCTGGTTGAAGTGCAGCCCTCGCGCCCCATCCATCGACGCGACCAAGAGAGGCGGAGATGAGTTTTTGTCGACAACCGTATTGTCAATCCTCTCCTGAAGCGCTGCATCAGGGACAGCTTCCTCACCGTCTTGCTTCTTGAATCGGCCCTTGAGCTCCTGGTGCTTGGCCAGCGCCTCCTGTGAAGTCTTGACGCGAAGGTCCCTCGTCTTCTTCTTGAAGCCGCTGTGGAAGCCGAGTGCCTCGTGCAGGGGCATGGTGTCCTGAATAGGCCAACACGCATTCGTCGGGATCGCTTCACGGTTGGCCCGTATCCTACCTGAAACCCCTGTGTCTTCAGGAAGTGAGTCAGGGACCGCACAGAGTGATGGGGTGCGAGGAATATCAGGGGCCTGGAGGGCTTGAGCGTCCTCAATGCCGCAACCAACCCGTTTACCTTCGCACCTGGAGAGCAGACACTACACTCGTGCTGTTTTATCCGTGGATGTCTCTTTCCTGTCTGCTGTGCATACCCAGAGTGTTGTTGGTGAGCGGGAGGAAGAAATGCTCAATGGTGTCGGGTACACCTACAGCGCGAGAGTGCAGATACTCCTCCACCTCGAACGGCCTGAACACATACGGAACAAAGAGCACGATGCACGACCAGGGAGACAAGTCTCTGGTAAGCGCACCGTATGAGTAGTGGCCCCCCCTTGTCCACGTCCCTGACACCCATCATGTTAGCCAGCTCGCGACGCAGCGGGCGTCCGATCGTTGCCGACGCCGCTATCAGCTGAACGGACTGACGTAAATGACGAGACGTCTCTAGCACAGCCTGAATGCACACAGGGACGCACAAGTGCCCAAGTCGTACTACGCTGGGTGGTCTGCCGGTCCGTGTGTAATGTACCTGCGCAATGACGGTCGCAGGTCTTGGGTGCTTCTTGCGGACCTCTTTGTCGCGCAAAGTGGCATAGCGACCTGTGAACAGAACAGAGACACACCTGCGTCCCTGCATTGTGGGTTTCCTCGTCCTCAGCACCACCTACCCAGTGGTGACACCAGTCTGTCCACTTCATCCATGATGAGGTGCCTGACGTTTTGTAGCAACCGGTGCGGCTTCACACGCGCTAGGTGATGATGCTGGGAAGACGCAGTGGAGTCGTAGCGGAGAGCGCGCAGGAGCGACGTGGCGGTGCCAACAACATACGGACAGGACGTCCTGACAGGACAACCAAACGGCTGTATTGGAGACCCGGCATCTGCGGATGCGGCTCACCTCAGAAGCGTTCGCTCAAGGGGCAGATTCTCGTCGTCGATCACCAGATGCACGAGATCTGGCCGTTGAAGTGGATCATTTGATCGACTGCCCGTCAAGGCACCCTCAAGTTCCAATATCTGAACACAAAACACAGTCACATGTCCCGTGATGCAAGAGCCCGTGTATTAGGCTAACCTCTTGTGCAAGCTGGATGGCCAGCTCTCGTGTAGGAGCGATGACGAGCGTCTCCATGGGAGCCCGCTCCCTCGCCGCCCCTCTTGCCCGCCTCGCTTGAGCCAGTCTCCTGACCATGAGGGGCAGGAGGAACGCCAGTGTCTTGCCCGACCCCGTCTCGCTGTGGAGCAACACATCCTCTCCAGAGAGTATGAGGTCCATAGAGGCCCGCTGGATGGCAGTCGGTGAATGGATGTTGCGGCCTCTCAAAACAGAGGCGACGGGACCCGGCAGCTCCAGTGAGCCGAACGACATAGGCCGACCGTCTTGTTTGTTGTGAGGTTGGGGACGCGTCGGGATCGGAACGGCGGGGGGCTCTGAGTGCGGCTGCGAGACCCCAGGTAGTGGCGAGGTCTCCATCTCCGTTCTTCTCAGGTCCGCCAGTCGATGTTCGAAGGTCTTCTTGCGTCGCTGCCGCTCGCGCCAGGTGACAGGAGGCGTTGCAACAGAGGTGCTGCTGCTGCTGGACATGAATACTCCTGATCTCCTGACATGCCGACAGTCAGTGCTGGCTGCTGACGGAAAGCCGTCGGCGAGAGGCCAATTGGGGGAGGTTGGCAGAGTGAAGGCGTGTGTACGGCTGAGGGGAGCCATAGCACACGCAAGTGCAGTGAGGCAGCGGGAGGAGCGCCATCTCTGCCGGGGCGCATGAGATGCACAAGTATGTCGCTGATCCACGCTGTCTGCGGTCGTTGCAGCGTCTGATTCCATGCCGTGTTGGACTCGTAGATCAGAAGTCTGATCACGTGCTTCCGATTTTTGCGAGCTCAAGTAGCAGATCTCCCTCCCCTGGGATTACGCGTGCACGTCGGGTTCGGCGGTGGTTGGGTACTTGGAGGAACAGAAGATCGACACAATGGTGCCAACCAACGGCCAGCTGTTCATGCTGGCGAACGGCATTCTCGGTGGGTTGGTGGTGCTGACGAACTTCGTGCTGCTGCCAATCATCCTGCAGATGATCCTCTACGCTGCCACCATCATCTACATCGGAAGCCACCTCTCGCTCAAACTCAAAGAGGTGCGGCGCGACACGTGTACCACAGATCTGCCACGTGTGTGTCTGTGAGCACAATTCTCTGGTGCCTGTAGACTGACCCAGTCACTGGCGAGAAGCAGATGGGAGAGTCGATGAGCCAGAAGGATGCCATGATGTTCCCAATCATCGGATCGGTGTCCCTCGTCACTCTGTACAACACGCCAGACAGCAGACACGTGCCAGCACCGACTGCAACTTCGTTTGTCGGTTGCTTCTCAGGTACGTTTTTTACAAGTTTCTGTCGCCGTACTGGGTGAACCTGCTGCTGACGACATACCTGTCCATCCTGGGCATCGCAGCGCTCGCAGCCACCATCTCGCCGGTTCTCGAAAGGGTGAGTACCAATGAAGGATGTGTCTGTCGTCTGCGCCTTGCGTCATGTCGTTGGCTTGCGTTGGCTTTCCGGCCTTGTCTTGCAGGTGGTGCCCATCCCTGCAAAAGTGTTGGACCGCAAGTTCCACATCACCTTTCAGCTGCCGGGCCCGCTGAAGCGAAAAGAGGGTGAAGAGCACCCGAGGGAGGGACACATGTGACTTGTAGAGTCATTCCTGATTTCAGGTCCGCATGACTTCCGTTTCACCGTGTTGGACATCGTGAGTCACGTGGTGTCGCTGCTGGTGGCCATCGCATGGCTGGTCACCAAACACTGGTGCCTGCACAACATATTCGCCATCGCATTCTCCATACAGGCAAGCTAGGCCAAGTCGTGCACCCGTGTGACTGTGCCCGTCCACGTGTCTGGGCTGCGTTGTCTGTCTGTCTGTCTGTCTTTGAGTACAGATGATCTCTCTCGTATCACTGGGGAGATTCCAAGTCGCATTCATTCTGTTGGTAATGACACTATGGACGAAGCACTTCTTGCAAAGCACGAGTATGATTGTGTCGAGTCCCTCCTCTGGTCCCCCAGAGTGGTCTGTTTATTTATGACATCTTCTGGGTCTTCGGAACCGACGTCATGGTCACTGTCGCTAAAGTGAGAACACTCAGGAGCCACACATGAGCGTTTGTCATCTGCACATCTGTCTGTGGGTATGTCAGTCGTTCGAGGGCCCGGCTAAGCTTGTTTTCCCGGTGTCGTTTGACCCGTGGAAGCAGTCCATCCTGGGCCTTGGGGACATCGTCATACCGGGGATATTCATAGCCATGTGCCTCAGGTGCGCGTCGCACCCCCACGAACCGACCAATGCACGCGATTGTCTGGACGGTTCATTGAACAGATTTGACCAGCATCTGTTTGAGGAGGGTCTGGAGGGGGCTCCGGTCAAGAAAAAGGACGACGTCATAGACATACACCAGGTACCATTTTTCAGCATGGAGCACGCCGCGTGTGTGTGATGGCGTTTCTTTGTGCGTCATATAGGGTTTCCACAAGGTCTACTTCACCAGCGCCATGGTTGCTTACTGTCTGGGTCTGGCAACCACTGGGGCGGTCATGTTCGTCTTCCAGGTGAGACGACGAGCCGAAGACGACAGGGAGAACGCATTGACGTCTAGTGTGCTTGTGTTTGCAGCACGCCCAGCCAGCTCTCCTTTATCTGGTGCCGTTCTGTCTTGGCGCTCTGCTCCTCACCGCAGTCATTAGACGAGAGTGGTCGCACGTGTAAGCACCCCACAGATAAGCGGACGCAGGCAGTGGTTTCGAGCTGTGTATTTGTGACGCCGTCCGTGGTGGCTGGTGCAGGTGGACATACAAAGAGGAAGAGGACAACAAGGATGATAAGAAGGAGGCCACCGATGCCGACACAGCTGCTGAGGGCACACAAGATGACAACGACGAGTCGTCCATGGAGAGCAAGAAGAGCCAGTAGCTCAGCCTGTGTGACCAATGTGAATTTGTGTAGGCGCATGCTAATTAATGTGTGCTGACGGTCTGTTGGGCCTGTTGGTTGTTGCTGACGGTCTGATTTTAATTCATCGCCAAACATAACCCATGTCCACGTCTCTGGCGTGCGCAGCATACCGGCACAGATGGCACGCGCTGTGGGGGCTGTTGAGCTCCAACAACTCGTAGAAGGCCCGAGAGGGGCCGACCTGATGCGAGAAAATAGCGCAGCTTCTCATGCTTTCCTTCCTGTACCCTTTTCCATTCCAGATATTCGTCGTATTCATCGTCATGATTGTTGAGGTAGGACAGATAGTCGGCCAAGGCCTGTGAACAGAATCGAGGCTGCCTTCCTCTGTCCTGTCGATTTGTCCTGTCAATGCAGGCCCGTCTGTACCTTGGGCGATGCGAAGTCTTCCGCGACGACGTAGCTGTGCGGATGGGGGGCGAAGAGGTGGTAGTTGTTCTTTCGCGACTTGACGATGGGCACGGTGCCGGCAGCCAGCGCAATCCCAAACTTCTCGGTGACGTAGTCAGGCGTGTCACTGTTCTCGAGCGCCAGATGGAACTTGAATGTCCTGATGAGCTCCATCTTCTCACGACAGTTGCGCAGCACGTCCTGCAGTGACCTGTTCCTTTTCCGCATTCTTTCGTGTGAGTCGGGCATTGGCTCGTCCATGTAGTCGCTCGCTTTCGCATTGTTGAGGCACTGGCCGAACGAATGGATGAACACGTGCTTGCCCAGCTCTTTCATGTATCTCAGGCGACCATTCCTTTCACGCGAACAAGACAGAAAAATCTCTGCCTTGCGTTGGGTGTTTTTCTCTGTATCTCACTTGTCTTTCTTTCCGCAGTTTGACACGACGAGGCTGACAAGACGATCCTTCCTCTTGGCCCGTGGAGGCGTCATCCAGTGGAAGCTGAATATAGTCAGAGGTCACAAGAAAGAGACGATCATTGAGTTTTGGCTAACTCCAGAAATGTCTCAGGGTTCAGTCGGTCGTGTCCCAGGTAGATTCTCGGCACGTCGCTGTCGAGATGATACGTGGCCTTCAGGTCGAATTTCCTGTCTCAAACGAAGGGAAGCAATCATGTTTATTGCCATGCCGTTAGCCTCTGCTTACTTGAGATATTCCGGCCGGCTTAGGTCTGGAAACAGAGTGGAAGGCTCCATCGAACTCAGTGCAAAGTGCTGAGCAAAATTACTTAGAAGGTTACAGACTGTCTACAGATCTTCTCACCTGGTGTGACTTTTTTGCACCCTGCGCAACGAGAGTGTCGACTTCAGAGCCTTGATTGAACGAAAACAACACTAAATCGGCTGTCCCATTCCACAAAAACTGCCTGCAGCGAACACCCCTTCATATTATTCTTGCCAGTTCTTTCCACCTGACCTTTCTTTGGTGAGGTGGCAGGGCACGTCACACGGCATCCGTCTATCCTCGAGATAGCTCCCTATCCCCCGCCTTGTTCCCCATTCCAACAGCCACACAGGACGTGACTCAGTCACCGTGTAAAACTCCCATGATTTTTTACTGCTCAAACCGCTGAGCGGCGGCGGCCTTTCCCCGGCAGCGATAGCCTTGGCATCGCTGCACTTGTATCGGTAATCAAAGTAGTCGACCCACCGATGACGGCGAGGCCGGCGAGGATCACTCGGATCCAGGCGGTTCACCTTCGAACGGCCTGGCAAAGCGGGAAGTGTCGGTTGCTGACCATGGACGAAAGGCAATGGATGAAACGGACGGGGAAGGTGTCGCGAACACTCAGGCAGGCGGTCCTCCCTTAATAGGTCTTGTCTAAGCTGGCGGTACCGCAACGACGGGTAGATCCGTAGAAGATGAGCAGAAAAGGGGATAAGCAGCGACGCAATCAGAGCCGCGACCAAAAGGACTGCCGGAGGAGGAGCTCCGCGCATTTTCGAGGGTAAGGGCATTTTGTGCTTCTTTCCAAACACAATTTGGAAGGAAAGAGTTTGCGTAAACTGAAAGTGTTCCGGTCCATGGGTTCCGGGCGGGAAGCGAGCGCATTGTATGCATGCACATTGTTTACACACAGCGCACATATGCACAAGTGCGATGAGACATTACAGCATGCATTTGGGTCTGTACAAGAGGGACACATTCACTCAATATCATTGTTTGGATCGTTGAGACGACGATGAGACAGGACGTTCGTATTGCCCAGCCAGCCACCACTCTCTGAGATCCTTGAGCTGCTCTTGGTGCTGGTCGGCCACTTGCTCGGTGCCGTCCCAGCAGAAGCTGCAACGACGCCTGGAACGGACGTTGAATTAAAACACGTGATGTCACACGAGATTTCTTCCCACCTTAGCGGCCCCCTCATTCCGCTCTTCTGTCTGCGTTGTCGTCCTGCTGTCCTGAAGCTGCTCTCCTCCATACATGTGCACGCTCTGTCGGGGAGGTCCACGTCTCTGGACGCTGTCGCTGATGTTAGGTCACGGTAGGCCAGGAGCACAGCATGCCAGTACTCTCGCAGCGCCGACGCAGACATATATTCGCGGAAGAACGACAAGGCGTTATCTGAAACGCATGGCCGCAATGTGCCGCCTGTCAAAGCAGTACAGATTACCTGCCAGGCGCTTGGCCTCATGGTCGTTGTCTCGCAGCCATTCCACCTGCAGGAAAAGACAGACAGAGGGAGGCCGTCCGATGTCCCACGTCCTCAGCAATGTGTTACGTACCACTTCGGTGACATTATTTTCGTCGACGATGAGATACTCGTGGCCCGGGCGAGCCGCGGCGTAGAAGAACTCAATGGCGGGATTCGCCCACCTCAAAACAGTCGCACCTAATGGGGTACGTCATTATACATCATGTCGTCCGGTGTGACTTACGGAAGTGCTGTTTTCGTCTCACCAAGTCCCATGATGTGTTGCAGGTGTCTAGAGTATGTGTTGGCGAGCTTGCCGGGCATCGACAACACGTATTTGAAGTCCGCAACATGCGAAATGTTTGCTGAACTGCCAAGGACTTCTCCGCTCGACACGCGAACGAGGTCTTCGTCGCTGAACATGTGCAAATCAGCCTATAAGATAAAAGTTTGCGGACGTTGCACACCGGTGTCTTGCACTATTTGCCTGCCCACCCATTGTTTGATGACATCGGCGTTTGGCTGCTGTCCGTCCACCCAGGCGACATCGAACACATCTTGCCGACGCGACGCCGTCAACACCAACTTAGCACGTTCAATGCCACTGAAATACGGACTGAACAACGAATGCGCATGGACAAGCGTGCAGGCAATCCAGAGCCAGACGTTGTTTTTACCCGCATGTTCCCCGGTAGAATGCCTTGGTCGTTCTCCTTTGCCATGGGTGCGACACGGCGAGCCGCATCAGCTCCTCCGCCCTGTCGCCCCACAGAGGCTGCATGATGTATCGCTGGCCCTCGGTAGTGTTAGACGCAGACGTGAGAGCACCGAAATAGATATTCGGTGTCAAGATGCACCCTGCAGATGACAGGCACATGACACGAAATATCTTGTGCATGTCCGGCCTACCTGGCATTTCCTGCATGCGTTTGACTGGGTCATCGCGCGTCGATCGCGTCATGCACAGGGCGGGGAGGGCCTTCCAGTTGAGGGAGTAGCGCTTCGTGTGCACCTCCTGGTGACGGTGGTAGTGTAGGTGCCCATGAGTCCTCCTCACACGAGCCCGCATACGCCTCAGGCTGACCCTGTGACTCGGCCCATGTGCGCTGGTTCGCGTCGCGTTGGTGGCCAGCAGGACTGTGTCAGAGCCCCCTTTGCCAGCATGCTGCTCATTGTCGGATCTCAGGTAGCAGTTGCGTCCTACGATCGAAAAGCCGATGAACAGAGGCGTTCTGTCCGTCTGGTATCAAGTCGAATACCATCTTGTGTCGGGTCGAAGAGGAACATCATGTCAGGGAAATCATACTGCAAAACACGCAGACGCATGACCGTCATGTGATGGATCTTATTCATTCAGCTGCCTATGTACCTCTTGCACAAGACTTCGCATTGTTTCGTCAAACAGGGTGAACCTGAATATCTGGTTGCCGTAGAAGTCGTGCACCTGACGGCGAGAGTCACTTCGGAGACCAGTGGATATGCGTATTCATGTCGCTTCTTCAGTCACCTTAGAGTCAGGCAGATAGTAGATCCCTCCCTACCATGCCCACATTGCACCATCCCCGCAACGGGCATGAAGTTGCACGTTGCGCCGTTTGCGTGTACCTTATAGATGTAGACCGCCGCATGCTGACCTGTCCGCGTCCCTGTAAGACAACAGCACGGAGGCAACAGATCATCCCCTTCTTTCCGTAAATCACCGCAGTATTCCAGGTCATCCTGTGAGATTTCCGCGGATGCAGATGAACGGAATGGGTGGATCTGCTGGTGAATCTCCTCGTCAAGTACGTGCCTACATCACTCAGTCATATCCATTCCGTCGCGTCCGTTTGTCCTCCCACCTCATTCTTTCCTTACCAGGCCGGATGGGCAGTGACGAGGCCTAAGCCTATGAATGCAATCGTGAGAAGTCGACTCATAGTGTCATATGGATGGATCTTTAGTGCCTCGAAAAACCCTTTCCTAGGGTTTGGGTTGCGACGGCGACTTCCTCCCTTCCATCCCCCATCCTTGGCGAAAATGTGGAGCCGGTCCGCTTGTCGTCTTTTGAGAGGCTGCGCAACTCACTCGTCAACAGCGCAGTCATCGGTGGCCGCATGCCAAGCAGCGACGGACTCGGCTCATCGTCTGGGTGTGACCAGCCTGCTCGTGGGTGCATCCGTCTGTGTGGGAGGCGCGGCGTGGTGGGAGAGGCAGCGGTATCGTCAGAGTGGGAGAGTGGCGCGCTGTGACATCAACACCAATGCCAATGCCAACGCCAACAATCACCGGAACCCGCTGTGGCGGAGCCAGGAGCGCAAGCCCATCGAGAAGAAGATCGAGGAGTCGCTCATCTTGTCGGGCAACTCGAATGTGCCTCTGGCTGAGGGCATCGCCAACCACCTGGGCAAGAAGCTCGGCTCCATCCAGCTCAAGCGGTTCGCCGACGGGGAGGTGTCGCTGCAGATCATGGACTCTTTGCGCGGCAAGGACGTGTACCTCATCCAGCCCACATCGCCGCCCGTCAACGAGCACCTGATGGAGCTGCTCCTCATGATCAGCACATGCCGCCGCTCGTCAGCCAAGAAGATCACCGCCGTCATCCCCTACTACGGCTACGCCAGGCAGGACCGCAAGCTCAGCAGCCGCGTGCCCATTTCTGCCGCCGACGTGGCCCGGCTGATCGAGACCATGGGTGTCGACCGGGTCGTCGCCGTCGACCTGCATTGCGGCCAGATCCAGGGCTTCTTCGGTCCTCGAGTGCCCGTCGATAACCTCGAGGCACAGATCATCGGACTCGAGTATTTTTTGAACAAGAACCTCCAGAAGCCCATCATCGTGTCACCCGACGCAGGTGGCGTCTACCGCGCGCGCAAGTTCCAGGAGGGGCTGATCTCACGGGGCATGGACGACGTCGGCATCGCCATGCTCATCAAGCAGCGTGCGGGAGCCAACAAGATCGACAGGATGGACCTCGTCGGGTCCGTCAGGGGTTCGGATGTCATCATCGTGGGTAAGCTAAATCGCACGCAAGGTGGGTGGGAGAACCGTGACATGTCTGTTGTGACATTCAGATGATATGATCGACACTGCGGGCACGTTGTGTGAGGCTGCTCGCGAGCTGCGGAAGCACGGGGCACGCCGCGTGTTCGCCTTCGCTACACACGGCCTGTTCAGCGGACCTGCACTCGACAGAATCGAGGTTCGCACACATTGACCAAGGCGAATGAAGACACATTACACACTGATGGTGTTTTCTTCAGGCGTCTCCTTTGGAGGAGGTGGTGGTCACGGATTCGATCCCGTCCAACGACCGTGTGAGAAAGTGCACCCGCATCACGCAGCTCAGCATTGCGGTGCTCGTTGCCGACGCCATACGAAGGATCCACCAGAAGGAGTCCCTCCATGACCTCTTCCACACCCGAGCATGAGGATCCACGCATGAGGTGAGGAAATGAACATTGAGCGAGCACTCACCTGATGCGATCTGTTCCTGTCGTTTCCCAGGATGCGATTGAGAGAATGCGACGAGGAAGGTGTTGCCGCATCGATGGTGATGAGGTGTCTGACAGGGCCATGACTCGATATGGTGTGGATGCATGCAGAGGGCATCCAGTGGAATGGCATGCATGTCGTGTGTGCATGTGCGGCTGTGGGTGCATACGAGATGTGTTTCTGTGTTCGTCGGTCGGTTGGTGTAGTCACTGCAGACTCGAAGGGACATAACGTGATCGTTACGGATTGAATCAGACTCCGTTCGTGGCTCTGTTCACACGTCGCACACAACCGACGACCAAGCGAGACACAATCACTTTGCGTCTTCTTTTGCCAACCAAGAGACGGTCATTCCGAGAAACATTCCCAACGAGAACTCCCCGACAAACATCCCAACGCATGAATCCATCAGCCACACATGAATGCATTCATCCATACCGACCAGCAGATTGTGGTGCGCCTTTAGATCGCACAGACAGACAGACAGACAGACGAAGACAGACACATCAACCAATCAACCCAACGTATCCAAATAAAAAAGCCCTTCGCACTTTCTTGTGATCACTGGAAGCCGCGTTTGAGAAGAGAAAAACATAATTAAAAAAAAAAACAATGGAGATGACTCCCTTTTGCTTTACAGAATTTGAGGCACGATTTATACTGTCATGTGACCGAGCATCGGTGGTATGGGAGGTGCAAGCAACGAGTAAGTATATATCCGAGCACAAGTGCATGTTGCCGCTCCACTCTGACTGTGGCTGTTTTATCTGCAGCGCCGACCCCGGCTGGCTTCGATCGGCTCAGGCTTCATCGACAAGGGCACGCGGATGGTCAGAGGAGGAGGACAAGGCGCTCCGCGAGCTCCATGACACCATGACGAAGGATGGCGGCGTCATCAGGTCAGATACAGACTCATGGTTGGTGGCTGACGATGGTGGCTGTTTGGTTCTCGTCAGATATGAGGCGCTGCGTGAGCAATTGGCGGCAAAGGGCTACAAGCGTGAGGAGCCGGAGATCTGCTTTCGCTGGATACTCCTGGACAAGCTTTTGGCACTAGCGGGTCCTGCGACAGCAAGGCGTTCCGGTCGTCACTGGACACGAGCAGAAGTAGAGGAACTCCTCCACGGCGTACACTGCAACATCCCGTAAGCTGCACCCATTCAATTCATGACAACGAGTTGTCCTCATTTGGTCGTATCAGGAGGGATGTCATTGCAGCGGGGCTGCGCAGAAGCGTGTCGGCGTGTCTGCAAAGGTGCGCTCTCTATCGATCTTCCGCTGACGAACTCCGCCTGGCCCGTCACTCCATCTTTTGGCTTCCATCGGACCTGGAGCTGCTCAAGACAATGCGTCAGGAGGGACTCAAGTAAGCAAACAGTACCACCACAGTCATTGTCTGATGTTTGCTGCTTCTCCCTGTGTCATGTGTGTCCATGCAGGTGGTCTGCCATCGCCATGGAGCTGGGTCGGTCTGAGGCTGCCTGCAAGCTCAAGTACTACAAGGAGGTGCCGCCTGAGGAGAGGGACCGGGCGGCCGGTCGCTGGAGCGTCGCTGATGTCCAGCGGCTAAAGGAGTTGTACGGGAGGCGGCGCGAGTATGCTTACACCACTTCCAAATCGACAGCCTCTTACCTGAGTGTCTCCCTGTGTCATGTGTGTCCATCTAGGTGGTCTGCCATCGCCATCGAGCTGGGTCGGTCTGAGGGTGCCTGCAGGTTGAAGTACAACAGGGAGGTTCCGCCAGAGATGAGGAGGAGGGCTGCGCCATCCTCTCTCTCTTCCCCCTCTTCATCGGCAGCCGTCCCACATCCGTCACCCTCAGGCGTCCCCAGCATCGTGGACTGGGGACCGGGAAGGGACCTCTGCGGGTCCCTTCCCGGTGCCCAGGCCGCCCTTCTCTGCGGGTCCCTCCCCGCCACCAACGCTGACGGGACAGCCATCCCAATTGGTCCCGGTGATCCCGCCGCTGCCTCTAACCGCTCCGCCGCCCTACCTCCAGACCTATCTCCAGTCGCGCTGTATCGTCCAAGATCGCAAAAGGCCAGCAGAACCGCAATTGAGTCGGGGCCCTCAGACCAAGCGGTCACGCATTCATTGGATAGAAGAACGGTGGAAGGTTCCATGCACCGAGTCTGCTTCTGTGTCCGGGGGACAGGTGGCTGACATCCATCCGTCCACCTGACCAGTGAATCAATCAGTCAATCACCGGTGACCCGGTGACGTGTGACGGTGTGTGGGGACACGATGCCAACGTGTTCATCGCCCACATGGCTCATGCGCTGTTGGAGAAGGAGGGGTGGAAGGGTCGGGGGTTCAGTCATGTGTCTGGATGGATTCGCTCTCGCTTGTCTATCGCCCTCGCGCGTGCGACTAGCTTCTGTCTGCGTGGGGGAGGGAGGGGAGGGTTTGCGGGACTGGGGTGTGCTGATGGGGCGGGGATTGATCCCTCCTCCCCTTGAGCCTGTTTGAGTCTGCGTGCTGATGGGACTGTATTTGTATGAGTATCACGGACACACAGACGAGTGTTACGGTTAATGACAGTTTCCCCCCCCCATCAGTCAATCACTGAATCACTCAGCCGCGGCCGTCTCGCCGGCTAGAGCTTCTTCTGTCCCAGCAGTGCTGAGCAGTGCGGGAGAGCTCCAGTATCTCTCCCGCCGCACTATTTATGGACACCTAACACTTTCTGACTGCATGCACCGTCGCGTCAGTTACACGAGCGCGCCCATATAAAAGTATGGAATAGGCACATCGATTCCCATTCATGAATTCCCTTCGGAGACTGTTTCCATCTCGGTGCTTCTGCTCTGCATCCGGGGCTGTCCGTGCTGATTCGTCCCTCCTCATCACGTCCACTCATGAGGGTCTCGAGAAGGCATTGGTTGCAGAGATAGCCGAGATCCAGAGAACGGCGAGGACGCCATGTCCCCCGATCCACAGCTGCGCCCTGCGCGAAAGTCCATGTGGCTTCTTGCGCGGCGTTCACATGGTGCCCTCAGCGGATCCTTCATCGACTCCGGCGCTGTCAACGGCAACGTGGGTGGAGATCAGCCATTATCTGGCGCTCTGGAGTCGCGTTGCTGAGCACATTTGGCTGCTTCTCGGCGGATCTACTTGTGTTAACGAGATGCAGCTTCTGGATTGCGTCACCTCCCTTCCATGGACATCGCTGGTTCCTTTTACTGGAGCTATTCCTCGAGTGCTGGTGCGGAGCTATCGATCGAGGCTTTGGGATGGTCCTCGTCTGTCGTCCATTGTACGTGAGGCACTTATGCGCTTCCCACATCAACCAAGCTGCGATGATGCAGTCGTGTCTTCGGAGGAGTGCCTAGTATTGGTGACACTGGAGCACAACGAAGCCCGCATATGGCTGCACATGGCGGGACAGCTCACACCGAGGCCCTTCAATTACATGCGAAAGCGGCCCACCGTCACACCTACCGACCATGAGACGACGGAAGCTGCAGCGAGCGCAACAGAGAAAGCCCGGAGCGACCCACCTATGTGGTCGTTACTTGAAGCCGCCAGATACGGGAAGGAGGCCAGCCGCTACACCTACTTGCCACCACCTCAATGGTACCCAGATCCACTTGGGAAAGGCAAGCTGACATACTTCAAACGGCGTCGATTGCAACGAGAAGCCGCTGAACGACAGGATTTGCAGGCTGAAGACCGAGGCAATGGGGAAGGAGCGGTGGCTGCTTCAAGCAGCCCTGAGAGGAATGTCAATTCGTCACTACTGCGATCTCGTCGTGGCTATCAACGTGCGGAGGTCTGGAATTGGGAGACTCCTGAGCCTGTCGCAGCTGCGCTACTTCGGTATACGGCTTTGCCACAGTGGTGTCACAATGTGCTCAGTGAGGGGCCGAGGCGAGTGACTACAAGTCAGTCCATCGATGAACGCCTAGTGGTAAGGAGAGAGGCGGGGTGATTGTGGGTAGTGGTGGTGGTGGATTGCCTTTGATGTTCCTAGGTGTGGGACCCCTTTTGTAGCAGTGGCAGTCTTCTTCTTGAGGTGCTCGCGTATGTAGCTGGATTGCCTGTTTCCACTCCAGAACACCCATGGACAGCGCAACGGCTGCTACTGAGGGACGAGTGGGTGGGTATGCGACAGTGGCTCGAAGAGAACCGCGACGGTTGGTGGCCGACCGATGCAGCGGCAAAACTACTCGCTCGTCTGACTCTTGTGGGGTCAGACCATCGTTCCCTTCCTGTCATTCATGTGAGAAGCCGAACAATGTTGCATGCAGGCCACAGTCACATTGCCTTTGCTCTTTCTTGTTCTTACTTCAGGCCCGCCGTCGCCTTCATTCCTTCCTGCAATACTATGATGAAGCAGGGCTTCTTCCGCGACCCACGGAGGCGTCAACACGAGAGAGTACACCGTCTGCATCAGTCGTGCGGCCGGATGGCACCGGCCCTCGCGTGATCAGACACGTATGCTCACTCGGACATACAGCGCAGCACCCTCTAGGTCCTGCCATCCCTACATCATCTTCTGGAGAGCCTCGTCAGTCGCCAAGCCTCAAGGTGCCGCTGAACGCCGTAAGCTATGCATTGAAGGATGACCCAGAATGGAATTCAAGGTAAGGAAATAATGGATGCAGGAATGACTCAAGCTACTACACTTTGGTCCACGAAATGCATTGACTGCAGGTTTGGCGCGGACATCTCCATCCATCGTGTGGGATTCTCACAGCTGGCTCCGTTCATCAAAACGCCTCTCATCCTCACACGGATCCCATCTGTCACGTGCGATGTAAGCGAGTGTAAGTAAGATGTGAATCAATCGGGCAGGCCAATGCGTGGAGGATCCAATTCTGTTGTGTATGTGTGTACCTGCAGCGTGGTTTGGTATCGAGCAAGATGCTGATGCTCTACGAGCAATTCGGCCAGCTTCTTATGTCCAGGCCGGACTGGAGGGGCGTGTATGTCATCGCACAGGTTCGTTGGTAGAGTGCCGCGTGGTGTAATGGATTCGATTCGCATTGGTTGCCTGTCCTTGTTCTTCAGGGCAAGACATTCATGAACTACTCACGTCTTGCGTGGGAGGATCTCGCTACCATCACTGACGGAAAGGGACGAAAGATGAAACTGCTCAGGTCCGTCAGAGAAGCGGCTCACTCACCTGCTCCCTTCCAATCACACTCGTCATTGACCACTTGTCGTGCTGTTTTAGGTGGAGGGCTAAGTAGACAGCGTCGGCCAATCAAAGAGATGTATGGGACCCCACGCGAACGCGTGTCGGCGAACTGTTACGAGGGGGGAGGGGCCCCCGAGTAATGGGAGGCTATCGGCCAGACGGAGAGCATAGGAAAAATGTCGGGCAACAAATAAAGACATGTTTTTCGAGAGTAATTTTTTTCGTTCCGAGGTTGGTTATGTATCCCAGAAGGGTCAGACAAGCGGACAACGTTGGAGGCTGTCGTGGAAGCTACGCATGGTGCACAGAAACTCGATTTGCTGCAAGTTTATCGTTCTGTTTGCTGAGTATATGCGGCGATTGTTGCGGGATGGGGAGGCTACAGCTACACAAGCTTTGACGAGAGAAGCGATTCAAATCCCCCCCTTTTGAATGGGGGGGGGCGGGGGCCTGGTAAGAATTCAAGGCAGAAAGATGATGGGCAGGAAGAAGGACGGCAGGCATTGGCAGCTGTGGCAAAGCGTTTTCGAGGGAGACTGCAGTGCGCGCTTGGGCGCCCGGGGCGTCTGAAATTGACGTTTATCTGTGGTTCAGTGACCATTGTTGTCGTATGCTCTCTTGTGGCTCGATAAACTGGTGGATACGCTCAGTCGCCCATGACGAAGACATCGAGAAATGGCTCAGCTTCTCATTGATTTCGCATCACCAAGGCACGTCCGGCTTGCGCCTGCCTCTGCGGAGGCCACAGACTTACAGAACAATCACGTATGGCCATCTTTGCACTGATTGATTTGTCGTATTGTGTTCGCAGGATGTCGATTAGAGAGGTTGTCGACTATTATCGGCATTTCCCATTCACAAGGTAAAGATGAAGCCTACACAACCGTGCGCTAGTATGGGCTGTCAAGATGCAGCTACAGCAGGAGAAGGGCCTCCTCGCCTCAAAGAAAACTGTCACCCATCAGTCGACCAAGATGGAGGACAACCGTACACTGTCTCTATTCCTTGAGTTTTGCGCATTTTTACAATGGACACTCTTCTGACTTCCTCTTCCTCCCTGCCCTCGTGCGCCTAGCCACACACTCCTTATCCTTCCTGTCCTTGGCGCTCTAACGACAGTATGGAGGACGCGACTCTGCACTTGGATTTTCCGTGGGGACACTCATATTATGCCCGAGTGCCCTTTCTGACTGTTAATGTATGGCTTGCAGTGTGCGTGCAGGCCCTTTCGACCAGTGGCCGTTACGGTTTCTCGAAAGAGAATGGCGGATCACGCGGCGACCACTGCGAGTGGCGTTGTTGTTGATCAGCTCCTCATTGCCGTTGCCGTTCACCTCGTCACTGTTGTCCTCCTGGCCAACGGTATTGTTGCTTCGAGGCGAGCACCAGTGTGTCGGCCGAGGAGCTGTCAATGCTAACAGAAATGGGCCTGGGATGGCAAAAGGCGAGGTGACAGAGGCCTTCAGGAGCATACTCATCAACATCCTGCTCACCAAGCTTTGCAAGAGCTGACCACACGAGACACAAGATGGAAAGACAATGAGACAAGCCTCTCAATCTTGCATCGATGCATGTATGCAGGCTGGCTATTGTAGTAGATGCTCACACATAAATAGAAAGAGCACGTAGCCAAAAATATTGAAAGAGTTCGACACTAGTGTGCTGAATTCGGGACTATCGGGTATGAGTCACTATAGCTACAAGTTCAAATGATGACAACAAAGCGACAGGAGACGGGGGGGGGGGGGGGGGGAA